CATATCCTCTTTTATATGGTTTCAAATATAATCCACTTCCTGACTTTCCTACAGCTATCGACTCCATTTTCTGATTGTGTCGTTGATTTTCTTTCAACTGTTCTTTAGCTGATTTAGCATCGTTAACAGCTTTTGCAATGGCTGCTGCGCCACCACCTAGAGATCCCAGAGCGCCTAAAGCGGCAAATATTGGTAGTAGAGGTAAAAATCCACCACTTTTCGGTATGGGTATTATACGTCTGTGACGAACAGGTCTCACTCTCTTTTTTCCTTTTGATGATTTTACTGCTCTCATGGCCACTTTTACAGCATCGTTCATATTCTTAAATTTCTTATTTTTTAAAGCAAGTCTGGCGGAATTTCTTAAATCATTAAAATTCAAGACTTTTCCACGTTTGCTAGTTTGTCTTTTGACTCGACAACCCATACCGAGTTTTATTTTAGCTTTCATCGCAGCCGCAACACCTAAAGCAGCAGCTTTTTCGCCCAAAGAAGCGTCCGAAGAACGTAGTCTAAGTTTCGCTTTATCTAACAGAACTTTATCGGCCTTATGTCGATTTTCCAAATCTTTATGTTCACCATAAGCTATATCGTGAAATTTGCAAGCTTCATCTAATTGATTCCGGCCTTTATCTCCTCTTGCTAATCGTTTTTCTAATTTAGTTCCTGGTCCACAAAAGTTATAACCGGGAATATGAAGTTCAAACGGTAATTTATTAATAACCGAATTTACGATCCCACGTCCACAATATCTCTTTCTGTAGGTCTCAATCCGACGACTGTTCCTTTTTCGCTTCGTAATCTTCATTTATACTCAAACTTTCGGATCAGCTAAACTACTAACGGAAACGTAGAAAAATTTAGTATTTATACCCCCCCACATGTCAGTTTCTTAATCAGATGTCGAAATGCGTTTGACACCTCAAAACCTCAAATTGCCGATAAATAATAACGATATCAAAATTAATAGTGGGAATAAAAGACATGGGGATCTTTTACCATCTACAGTAAGATGTATTATTGTCGGACCGTCTAACTGCGGAAAGACTAATGTTATGATAGGTTTAATCGAACATCCAAATGGTTTAAGATTTGAAAATGTCTATGTGTATTCTAAATCTCTTTTCCAACCAAAATATCAATATTTGGAAAATCTTCTAAAACCTATTAAAGGTATAAATTTTTATAGTTTCAGCAATTTCGACAATAACAACATACCACCACCGCACAAAGCTAAAACTAATTCTGTCTTTATTTTTGACGATGTGGCATGTGACAAGCAAAATTTAATGAAAGAATATTTTAGCATGGGACGACACAGAAATATAGATTGTTTTTATTTATGTCAAACCTACACATGTATTCCTAAGCATTTAATAAGAGACAACGCAAATTTTATCATTTTATTTAAGCAAGATAATTTAAACTTGCGCCATATCTATGATGATCATATCGGCACTGATATCTCATTTGATAAATTTAAAGAAATGTGTTCATTTTGCTGGCAAAACAGTTATGATTTTTTAGTAGTCGATAAAGAGAACGAAATTCGTAGTGGTCGGTTTAGAAAAGGATTTGATAATTTTATTGATCCATTTTCATAATTTCAGTCTATAGAAGTATGTTGAACATTCAACATGCCAGTTCCTGTAAAATATAAATGTCCAAAATGTGGAGGTGAAACAGATACTCCTAACTTACCATGTATATACTGCTACTATAAAGATCATATAAGAGATCATTGCAAAACAAAACATGTGCATCTGTACTATTGAATAAAGTATTTTTATAGAATGTTTGTGAAATTTTGCATAGGTATATAAGCCTATCATTCAAATAAATAGATACAGTTTATTTGTATTTTCGGAAGCCTTAGGAGACATGGATTCAAAAATATCAGATGTGGTTGATTTAAAAAGGAAACTGATTAAGAAAAGAAAAGATTTACAAAGAAAATTAGAACTAATTAAAGCAACTCAACGAAATGAAGAGAAAAAGTATGAACCCCTCACTAAACATTTGGAAACATTAATTGAGAGACGGAGTGAAAATCCAATAAAAAGTAATCAAGATGTGAAAACAAAAAATGTGTCGAACATTGAGCACAGTACACCTACAAAGCGAAAGTTAGAAAATACAATTCTGTCTCCTGTTCGTGAGAAAAAAACTATTGTTACTACACCAAAGCAAGCAGAAATTTTCACGCCAAGACAAAAAAGAATTGCTACAAAAGTTGCTAACCTTGTGAAAAGAATCGATGCCATCAAAAATGAAAAAGAAGATCGAATGAGTCCGATTAGTTCAAAATATGATGTTTTATCACAGGAAGATTTCGAAGAATCAATAAATAAAACAGATGCACAGGACAATGTGTTCCAATACATTCCCGAGGAAGACAATGATAATTATAACTTCAATGAGGTTCTTGAAAAATCTGTTCAGTTAAGTAAAAATTATATTAAAAACATCGTTGATACAGACGTTTACAACGAATATTTAAATGATTTTGATGAATTACCCAGAAAATATATTGACGAAATGCATCACGATGCAGAAAGTAAATTTGATCACAGAACAGGCGTAAGACATGACACTTTCTCAGAGAAATTTTATATTGGTTCGAAGGAGGTACAATTTATAGGTCCAGATATAAAAATAGACAATGAAATCTTTAAAGGGACTCCTGGAATTTATGAACTTATTTTTAAAAAGAAGCCTGTTCATTTTACTACGGAAGACAAGGAAATTTACAAAAAAATTTTAGAAAAAACCAATGCATATCGAAGAAATTTCGATGAAAATGATCGAATATTGGGTACAAGTTCGATGAAATACAAAAATATTATAGGACCATTATTCTCAACTCTCACGAAGTATAAAAAACCGAAGAAAGGTGGTCAAGTACTATTTAAAGAAGTAAACACAAATAAAGTTGATTATGTGTATTGGGAAGATCCAAATGAATTAGTTGAAAGACTGAAGTTGTTAGTCGCTTCCCAGACAGCAGGCCATTCGGGTCATCAAAACGAAATCGTTTCTATAATAGAAGAACTACGCGAAGCTAAAATTATTGCTTAATATGACTCTGGATAAATTCGGGCGTCATTTGTTAAAACATGCTAAACTTTCAGGTTCTATCGACAATGATATGATTACTATTTCAAACTATATGTTCTATAATCTGATATTTCGCTTCGAATCCGATAAAACCGTGGAAAACACGTATGTATTAAATTCTAAAGAAACGCACTATACGTTTCCTTTAGAAATTGGAACCCTTACAAAATTGAATATTACCATTAATGAAATAAATGTTTATGTAAATAACAAATTTTTTAGTAAAGAAGAATTGAAAGGATTTGTACTACGTAACGGTGATCGAATATCGTTCAAATATGCTGTAAATAAAACAGAAAATGTACCAAATTTGTTCGCAGAAATGATAATAAAATGTCCTGTTAATTTTGAAGAATCGTTAGTTAGTGCCGAGAAAGCACATTATATACATAAGACTGATAAAAATGAAACGCAAGAAGGTGTATGAGCCAACTCCCATTAAAAGAGATATTGTTGCAGAATTGCACAAACCCGTAAGAATTAATTTTAAACGACGCAAGGTTATAATAAAAGGTATTAATGAAACATTACAAGCAGATCTAGTGGAAATGATACCGTATGCTAAGATAAACAGAGGATACAAATATATACTTGTTGTTATTGACTGTTTCTCAAAATACGTGTGGGCTGTCCCTGTAAAGTCAAAAGATGCTCAACAAATCGCCACTGCAATGGAAACAATTTTATCCAAAATCGTACGGTTACCCAAAAATTTACAAACAGATCAAGGAAAAGAATTCTACAACGTAAAGTTTCAAAATCTTATGAAAAAATACAAAATTAATCATTACAATGTCTACAGTTTAAAAAAAGCCTCAATCGTCGAAAGAGTAAATCGCACATTAAAAAATTTAATGTGGAAAGAATTTAGTTTGCAAGGAAATTATAAATGGTTAGATTTATTGGCAAATGTGGTACATCGATATAATAATTCTTATCATCGTACTATAAAAATGAAACCGTCACAAGTTAACAAAAGTAATGAAAACGCTATTCTAAAAGCTGCTTATACTCAGATTAAAATAGTTAGCAATAAATCAAAATTTAAAGTTGGTGATAACGTAAGAATAAGTAAGTATCGCGGAATATTCGATAAGGGATACACACCCAATTGGTCAAATGAGATTTTCATAATAAGAAAAATTAATCTCACTAATCCCACCACATATTTTTTGAAAGATGAAAAGGGTGAAAACATTTTAGGTGGTTTCTATGAAATGGAACTATTGAAAGTTAAGCATCCAGGTGTATATCTCGTTGAAAAAGTTTTAAAAAAGAAAGGTAATCAACTTTATGTTAAATGGTTAGGATTTAATAACACCCACAACAGTTGGATTGATAAAAAAAAATTACATAGTCGCTTTTCTCTCAGTCAGTTGACATAATTGATACGATGAAGTTGGTTGTAGTCGACGTACAAGGTTTTTGTCTACCTGAATTCATTGTAAAAGAACTTGCGATTTACGATGGAATTAACACAATACACGAAACATTCAAATCTACAAAACAACTCAAAGAAATCGATGAAAGAACGAAGAAACAAGCTAGATATCTAGAACGTTATCATCACATGTTGAGATTTAATGACGGCTTCAAGGAGCAGATATCTGTAAAAGAAATTTTGTTCAAATACATCAAGGAATATGCAGTGGAGATCTTATATGTAAAAGGAAAATGTAAAGAAAATTACCTTAGGGAAACGCTAGGAAAAGACTGCCCCAAAATTGTGAACCTCGAAACAATTGAAGACTCTGTGAAATTATCTAAAGAAATCCCAGCATGTGATAAACATATTGCTAATAATAAAAAATGTTACTGTTCTTTAAACAATGCTAAATGTATTTACAATTGGTTGTATTCAAGGTTTCCTCAATAAATAATACTATATTAAACTGTGTTTTATTTAATCGCAACACAAAACGTCAAAATAACGAACGAAAAAAAAAAACTGTCAGGTGTGGGATTCGAACCCACGCTCCCTTTCGAGAATCAGAGCTTAAATCTGACGCCTTAGACCGCTCGGCCAACCTGACTATGGAAAAACGGGTCAGGTCGATCGAGTAAAAGGCATTGCCAAAACGTACAGGTCAGGCACGTGAAGTCCTAAGGCAAGTCAGCCAAGGCCAGCCCCGTGCAGCGACCCGACCTAAAAAAAAAAGAGGGGATAGATCTCGAGATGACCAAGGGCAATAAACGTAATTCCTACAGACGAATCCATCGACTTTTATACAAGTATAAAACGGAAGTGGGGATGCGAGATTGCGTCCGAGATCCCTCCCCGACCTAAACGAAAAGAGGGGATAGATCTCGAGATGAACGAGGGCAATAAACGACCAAGGTCGAGCAACGACTAGGTCAACGATCGCCCGATGAAAAGTAATGGGGGAGCTGGACCAGCTGGCAAGGTCAGCCACGTGCACCGACAAGCTCGACAACAAATGAAAGGTCAATGACCGCTCGATGAAAAGTAATGGGGGAGCTGGACCAGTTTGACCTCATTTGACCTGGTCTAGAACCCCCACTATATAACTACTTATATCCTTAGTAAAAGTCAATGAATTTTTTTGTTCTAATGCAGAAGGTTTAATTTCTGTACCGCAGGGACATTGTTTTTACTTTAATATTTGAAAATTTTATTACAACAATCCTACACTAAAGACATATGAAAGGATGCTTGGGTTATCTTACCTTTCGCAGCAGCTGCTGCTCCAGATTTGTATTTATTTTTAATGGCATTAAGGGAAATAGCTCCTTCCTCGTCACTACCCTCTTCTTCTCTATATACACTACTATTATGTGACCTCGTTCCACCGTCACCTTTTCTAGTGCGCGGCTTGCTAGCTCTAACCGTTTGTCGTAATTTTTCTTCCTCTTTCTACAAAAAAGTGAATGTTTAATATCTTCAATACCCTTATTTAATAGTATTAGCATACCTTCAAAAGGAGCTTCCTGTCAGCATCTGGATCGGCTCCAACTTGAGACAGAATTTTAATTCCTGAAGTTTTTTGTGATCGATCCGCAAGAGACAACGTCATTTTTCTGTGAGTGAAACTCTCTGTTGAATGTGGTCGGAAACTAAGTTTCGTTCTGAATACTGCTTGGCCTTGAAGACCTGTACCTTGACGTATAAACAAGTGATTGTGGTCACCCTGAAATCGTAGTTAAGTATAACATTCTCGAATATGGCTAATTTAACCTGTAGTGGTTGTTTGTAGACGTCAAATATTTCTGAACCCAGATGTAAACTGTACGAACCGTCTGACCACCGCACCAGTCTTGCATTAGATTCTTTCTTTACATTACCTTCCTTATCCATCACTTCTCTCCACCTTATCGTGTTTTCCACTTTCAGTTTCAGCCTTGCTCGACCCTCTTCATCCAAAGTTTCTTCTTCGTCAATTTCATCTTCATACGTTTCGGGATCAAAAGGCCTCGTCTCAACCGACAAGAAATTAGGTAGTTTCACGAAGTGAATATCTCTGCCTAAATCGCAACTGATTTTTGGTATTTCGACGTCGATTCTCGTTTCTGGTATCGGTTCAGGCTCATTTTCTTTATCTTCTTCCTGAAATCGGAACGGAAGTTTTTTGAGTGGAAAATGTCTCTCAAATGTACTTACGTCATCGGGTTGTCTTTCTTCATTTTCCTCTTCTGAACGGCGTTGTTCCTCTTCGTCGTCGCTTCTTCGAGGAGCTTCTTTATCTGATTCTGCTTTATCCTTTTCTTCCTCACTACTAATATCGTCTGCGTCACCAAATATTGCCGCAGCACTAACCTCTTCAAAATAAATTAAAATGATATAAATGCATGTTTTAGTTCGTTAAGTAATACCTTTTCCATCCTCTTTCTCTTCTCCTTCACTATCAGATGCAATGACACGGTTTTTCTTTTTAGTTATGCGTTCCTCAGAACTGTCTCTTTTTCTTTTGTCTCCCTTCGAACTCGCAGGCGATCCTGGATCGTCGATTTGTAAATTTGGGCTGTTTGATCTACTATTTTCTTGTGAAACAGCCCCTTTTTCAGGGGAAGGAGATCTAGACCTATAAAATAAGTAACCATTTTATTAATTTTTGAAGTGACATTTTTCTTCTGCGATACTTTTAAAAACCAGCTATAATACATACAAAATGTTCTGTGCTTTACCACACAAAAAGACTCGACTTAGGTAGGCGAAAAGTAATACCCAAATTTTGTAAGACTTTTTCAAGCTGAATGCAAATATTTCCCTTTTTCGTTGTCACTTTTAACTTGTAATTTATTTTCGCACACTAGTTTTGTATGCTAATAAAATTTTGTACCCCATTAGTATTGTTTAGCGCAACAATTTTCTTGATAAAGGTCCTCGTCAAATTACGAAAGGACGCACAGCAAGTTAATATTCTGTAACTACCTCAATTAAATTCATTACACAATCATAACAACAGATATTTCGAGTAAGAATCTGTAATGTATTGTTACGAAAGAAACTCATACGCCGCCCCGATACCAGACCTATGGGTTCTAGTATGTACGGCGATGATGGGTGACCCGACGGCGGCCGGGCGGCGTTCGCTAAAGAAAAGCCTGGAAGCGACAGTCGCGATGGGCATTCCACGAAGACCTCGATTGCGAAACATCTAGAAGGGAAGTATGGGTTTAAATAGAGACCACCTTCGGGAACGAGATTATTCAATCAACGAGTCGAGTCCAGTGAATGTTGAGAATTCAATCAAGTCATAATCGCTGTGTAATTAGTCGTGTAAATTTAAGTTACTAAGAAATACATTGTTGAGTTTTACCCACGCCGATATTAAATTACCGACCATCATAACACTGATGTCAGAAGTGGGATTTGAAACTAATAAGTGGTTTTACGACGAATTACGAGCAGATTGGACAAGAATTCTGAAGATTGATGCCTGTTGAGACTTGAGCTCAAGCTGCGAAAATGAAGGAAAAAGTAAAAGCGATGACGGCTATGCTCGCAGAGATGGACGCAAGAAATAAAGAAATGAAAGATGAAATAGGCCACTGCCTCCTCTACTTAACAAGCCGTGTTGTGCGAAATACGGCAACATTGTGCGGCGGCTGGTCAACCTGTTCAACCTGTTGCATCTGTGCCGGTGTGTAGCAGTGCAAAAGTGTTTATCTGGTTTTATTTATTATCAAATTTTAACTAGTAGTGAACTTTTGGAATTAACTTGTGAAAATATTAATTTTTAGGAATAACGGAAATTTCAAACGGTAAAGTGTAGCGTAAAGTAATTTGCTAATTGTTCAAAATAACCTCAATTTTAGATGCCGCGTAAATGTTGTGTTCCTGGCTGTAATTCCAATTACGACAGTGAAATAAAAAAGGGAGGTCCAGTTGTATCAGCCTTTAGATTTCCAAAAGATGAAGAGAGAAAAAAGTTGTGGCTTTTAGCTATTCCCCGCAAAGATTTTTCACCCACTGCAAATAGTGTTGTCTGCATGAAACACTTTTCTGAAGACGATATAATTCGCTATGACCTGTACAAAACAAAGGACGGAACTACACAACAATTGCTATTAATGTGCCCCAAGTTAAAAGAAGATGCACTCCCAAGAATTTTTCCAAATCTGCCGAAGTATCTGACTAAAGAAAAGAGTGTTGTCAGGAACGACCCTCAAGAAAGAAAAAAAAGTTTTCAACAGAACCGCCGCAGCAATTGACAACTTTTTAAAAGCAGACATTATTCAAAGTTTTGAAAATGTAAAAAATGACTTTGCTTCGAAAGTTGAAAGTGTTTCTAAGTGGCATGTGATAATGAAGAACAGTGAATTATTTTTTTATACTTTAAGTGTTGATTATGACAATGGAAGTGATGAAGGTGAACATCTTTATATAGTTAATAGCGTTAAATTGGACCAGAATATGAGATTGAAAGTGGTGATAAAAGGTAACGAATTGTCATCTCATGAATTAAAGTGGATTCTTCCATATGATTTAAAACTAAGTCGATGGTCCCAATTGAAAAATATATTAAGCAGGTACCATAAGTTTGAAGAAATTAATTGTAAATCTGATCAGTCTCAGTTTGAATTATACTTACAGAAATGTAGGAACTATCTAGAGAAATGTTGCGAAATGGCAGAAATTCATGATTATGAACACAAAAGACAACTAGAGATTGTTTTTGATCAAGTGTCACAATTAACATTAAAAAAGCGTAGATATTCACCAGCCACAATCTTGTTTTCGTTTATTATGTTTTCATATTCTCCTTCGGCCTATAAGTTTTTGCGAAATTATTTGCTGCTACCCCACAAACGCTATTTGCAAATGTTATCGTCATCATTTAACATTAGTCCTGATAACGAAAGCAATAAAACAAAATATTACTTTTCCTGTGCGGCTTTAGCTCGGCTCGGCATCGACGTATGCGGCCGGCCTCCGTATCGGTTCCTAGGCGCTGTTGCCAGTTCGTACAGCACGGCTTGTTAGTAAAGGAGGCAGTGAATAGGCGCAAGAATGGAAAAAATAGACATAAGAAACAAAGAAATGGACGCAAGAAACAAGGAAATGGACGAAAAAATGGAAATGATGTACGAAGATCTAAAAGTATGGGTTAGATTAGATTATTCAATCAACGAGTCGAGTCCAGTGAATGTTGAGAATCCAGTCAAGTTGCGCCGGAATTATTTTCTACATAATTGCTGTGTAATTAGTCGTGTAAATTTGAGTTACTAATAAATAAATTGTTGAGTTTTACCCACGCCGATATTAAATTACCGATCATCGTAACAGTATGTTTATGCGCTTCGACTTATTTATCTCGGGGCTATAAAATTTTATTAGTATACAAAAGTAATGTGTCTACAACACTTGAATAATTGATTAATGTTATTAGTCGTATTTAAATTATAATTATGAACGAATTACAGCAGCGGATCTTGTCCGAATGTTCGAAAATATGAAAAGAACAGTTAATTTGTGTCTAAAGACTGAGGATCAACATTTACAGCAATTACTGTAGAAAGTAAGTGTGGTATTTACGAGGAGGGTAGAATAAGAACGGAGGGAGCATGTCCTATGCTTTCAATGGTACGGTTTTGGCCCAAAATCAACCACCGCAAACACCGTTTATGATCAGTCTGTCGATTGTGCGCATGTGCGAGCTAGCTACAAACTTCAAGAAAACCCTATCGTTTTACCGTTATTCCATAGGCGTACATCTCAGTTATTTTGTTCCAGCACGTGCTGTGTATCTTTATACTTTGTGCCGTTTTTTTTTTTATAAATTCAACATGGTGAGCTGTAAACTGTGTAAGTCGTGGAATGGAAGTAAACAATCCGTAAAAGACAGACTTAGTTTTCATAAGTAAGTAATAAATGTATAACTTGAGTAACTTTAATTTAATACTATATATTAACATTTCTAAATAATACTACTTATTTATTTTACTTAGATGTCCAAAGAAACCAGAGATTGCGAAAAAATGGATGGAATTTATGAATATTCAATTGGGAAGTTGTAGCATTATTAGTAGTACTGGAAGAATAATTTTATGCTCAAGGCATTTTGAAGAACATTGCTTTGACAGGCATTCATTAAAAAAGGTCGTTTTGCGGCCAAATTCCATCCCCACTATATGTTTCAGCTATTCTGAAAGAGTAAGTTAATCATAATTTATAAGGTATAGGTAATATGCTCTAAACGTTGGTGTTTTTACAGCTACCAGTACACCAAGCTATAACAGAAAATCAAAAAAATGCTAATGAAATTGTTGCTGAAATTGAAGAACGCAATGAAATTTTCGAGAATATTTCAGAAGAAGGAACAGATGAACTAGATATAGCTTTGGAAGTTAAGAAAATAACTGAAAAATTAGGTGAACTAACATTTTCTGCACATAAAATGTTATTACTAAAAGATCAAATTGCCAAACTGCAAGAAAAAACTCTACAACAGAACAGGATGATACGACGTTTATACAAAACGAATCACCGTAAAGATTTTTTAATTCAAAATTTAAAACGACGAATAAAAGTGTTGACAGAAGAAAAAAAGGTTCGTGATAAGTCATGTATTAATATTGTTAATTTTGAAAAAAACCAAGAATTAATTCATCGAATGTGGTGCAGCATTAATAGTATTCCTTTGCCAAAAAAATATGGGCCCGAGATAAGAAAATTTGCCATTACATCGCATTTCTATTCTCCAAAAGCGTACAGTTTTGTTCGGGAGAAATTGGAAAAAGCCTTGCCCCATGTAAAGACTTTAGCTCAATGGTATTCATCCCTTGAAGGTTCTCCCGGATTCACCGATGAAGTTTTTACTTTACTCGCGGTAAAATGTCAACAGTTACCGGAAGATAGAAAACTTGTATGTTCGCTTTCATTCGATGAAATGGCTATTCGTCAACATTTGGAGTTTGATGGAAAAAAAAAATATGGTCATGTTGACATGGGCTCTGAATTTCTTAATAATGATAAAATAATCGCAAAACAGGTTCTTGTCTTCATGTTAGTTGCAATTAACCAACAATGGAAAGTTCCACTTGGTTATTTTTTTATCAGTTCTTTAAGTTCAGAACAAAAACTTGTACTAGTTCAACATTGTTTAGGTTTATTATCAAAATGTGGCATTGTTGTAACTAATGTCACTTTCGATGGCTGCCCATCAAATTTTAGCATGTGCAATAAATTAGGGTGTTCTTTTGATATAGATAATTTGAAATCATCGTTTGATCAAGATAAAATCAGTGTTCTGCCTGATCCTTCACATATGGTAAAATTAATTAGAAATGCATTTGGTGAAAAACGACAACTTTTAGATGAAAATAATAATTTAATTGATTTTAGATATTTAGAACTTTTGAATGATTTGCAAGAGAGCGAAGGGCTACACCTTGGAAACAAATTGAGACGAAAACACATTATTTTTTTTAAACAAAAAATGAAGGTATATTTAGCCACTCAACTATTAAGTAGGTCCGTTGCGGATTCATTATCTTTTTGTAAAGACACTTTAAAATTGGAGAATTTTAAAAATTGTGAACCTACTGTAAAATTTATTTCTATAGTCAATGATGCTTTTGACATATTAAATTCACGAAATCAACATGAGTTCGACTTAAAACAAGCTGTAAATTTACGTAACATCGAGACTATTAAATGTTTTTTTGAAAACTTGAAAATATATTTTGGAAACTTAAAATTTGTTCATAACAATCAATTAGTGTTAAATTCAGGCCGTAAAACAGGTTTTATAGGATTCATAATTGGCCTTAATTCCATAATCAATATTTATAAAAATTGTATTTGTCCAGAAAGTGATAAGGCATGTTTGAAGTATCCTCCAGTATATAAATGTAGTCAAGATCATTTGGAAAACTTTTTTGGTACTCTACGATCTCAAGGTGGGTGTAACGACAACCCTACTTGTCGTCAATTTAAATCTGCTTACAAGAAATTAGTGATAAATTCAGAAATAAAAGAAAGAGGCATTGGAAACTGTTTGCCATTGGAAGATATAAACATTTTAAATTGTTCCTCTGTGAAACAAGAACTACAAAATAACGATTTATCATCAATTAATCCAAGTTACAGTGAAAATCTGAACATAGATTTAGATGAATATGAAAACATACTACAACATGAAGAAACATTATCTCAATTTGCTGATGAAATAATAGTTTATATAGCTGGATTTGTAGCACGGAAATTAGGACAATTACTAAAATGTGAAACATGTGTAGAATCCTTATTTGGCATCAAAGAAAATTTGTTTGGCAGTTTAATTGACCTTAAATCGCGAGGTGGATTGTGCTATCCCAGTGATATTTTAATTGATGTTTGCAAAAAAATTGAAAAAGAATTTAGAATTGCATTAAAAATTCACGAGAGAGGAGTTAACAAACAAGAAATTGTATGTCATATTTTGGAATACTTTTCTACAAAAGCAAGTTTGTACCAATCTCACCATATACATTATTATTCGCTTTTTCAACATATCACAAATGTCTACCTTAATTTAAGAATTAAATATTATTATAAGAATTTGAATAATTCATCGCAAGGTGAACCTAGGGTTAGGAATAGCTTTAAGAAACTAATTCATTTTAAAGGCCAATAAATTTAAAGTTGCAAATTTATGTTTTTCAGTGTTTTTTCACATCGATCCTCCTATAACAACGTGAATTTAAGCGGCATTGCCCGAATCTAAGACGACTCTCGATTTTAGCGTAAATTTTGGTGAAAAAAGATCCCTATGGCGGATGGTAAACCACATTTTGCGCCGCCACTGTCTAGCGATCCTTTTGCACGTAGGGGCGTGGTTTAGCCGAGCGCGTATTCCAAACACCGTCATAAACGGTGTCTAGATTCCGAGCGGTCGGTCCCACACTTTTCTACGGTATTATCCCTCCGTTCTTATTCTACCCTCCTCGGGTATTTATGATTTAAATTGTTATAAATGAAAGATTTTGTATGATTTTTAGAACATTTCGACATGACGCTGCCACAGACGCTGGGTATTTAGGCAACTCAAAATACACCCGTCAAGTTCAAGTTACGCAACACGTTTTACTGCTGACATAAGTCTCATGAGTATCTACATCAGAAATTTAAAAAATCACCGGTATAACATCATGATGTAGGCACAGTATAGATATCATTCAGTAGGGACAACTCGCTATTTTTACTGACCCGTTTTCATGAGTTTGTCTTGTGACCGTATGAGGGCGCGGAACGCAAGGTACTTCTCTTTCTTACACATTGGGACATCGAACTGCGGTACTTTGGTTATCTAGTGACTTTAATGTGAAATATTTGAAATTTGGCAGTTTAGTTGTATTGGTTTTGTTGATTTAAGGCTGATCTTCCCATGTAATTATTGCAGCTAAGTGTAATTTTCACAGAGACTTTTTAAAAAGCATTGTTCATGTTTTGATGGGACCACTGTTTACTGTTTCATTTTTTTGTAAAAAAAAATTAAATGTACCTATCTATATTAGCGTTTTCTAAATAACGTTGAATTTTACAACCATTTACAACGATCATGAAATAGTAATTTACACAACTAGTTCGGGATAGCCTGCTTCCCGCATGAACGCTTGTTTGCGGCACGACCGAAGGGAGTGACGCATTTGCGTGAATGCGGGAAGGAGGCTCACGAACGTGTTGTGTACAATATTTTTTGCAACGAATAAACCTTTAAAGTGAAGAGATTAACTGTGAGTTATTTATAAACAACGGCATTGACAGCGCCGTCAACACCTCACAATGTTGACACTACTCGACTATTTTAAGGTTACCATGGCAACGGAAAGTTAAAATGCACGTGTGCGGGAAGTTCAAACTCCCGCACCCTGGTGAATGCGCGAAAGCCATCAAAAAAGGTCATGAGTGCAAAAAAGAAATTAATGAAACGTAAAATCGTAATCAGAGAAGCGGGGCCAAATCTAATTTTCAACATGGCATATCTGCTATAGGGCGCTTAATTCATTATTTATTATAATAGACTGTGGTTTCTAAGATCAACTAGTTACAAAATGTTATTGTTATTACACTATTTTTAATACTGTTCCAAAAATTCATTTGCACAAAGTGTAGTAAATTGTGTACACAAATCAATTTTAAAATGAAGCGTTTGTGATATTTTGTACAATTTTGTAAATTTGGTGGCGCCATCTAGAAATATTTTGGGCAACGACCACCGATGACGGCTTAATTCGGGTCAGAAAAACCAAAGGCGCCGACACGAGTTGTCCCTACTGAATGATCTCTATACTGTGACGTAGGCTTCATGTAATACTAGTTACTAAGGCTTAAGTTGGACAGGTACCACCTGTATTAAGAGTAAGACCAAAAATTTGTTCATTGCTTCATAAAGCTACAGATATACAAGTACTTGACCACAAAAGCATAAATTTAAATACAAGAGGAGATTCTGATAATCTTTCTGGATTAGTAAAAAATGCGTGTATAATTCATAGTATACTGGCTTGTTGTACTTTTCTTGCGTTACATAATATGTCAATATTATTTAATAAAATAACTTACCTTGATGGTGACCGGCGAGATCTATTTGATTCGGCACTTTTAGACCTATTCGACTCTGCTGATTTGGATCTATTAGACGCAGCACTTCTCGATCTTGACCTAGATCTGGACCTTGAAGGCGATCTGGAGCCAGACTTATTACTAGCGGGGCTTCCCGACCTTGATCTTGACTTATTACTAGCAGGACTCCCTGACCTCGACCTCGATTTATTACTAGCTGCACTCCCCGACCTAGATCTTGACTTTTTTGAACCAGCACTACTAGACCTCGATCTCTGAGACCTAGCAGGTGACTCTGACCGGTTAGAACCAGACCTCTGTGAAGCCCCTCCAGATTTTCGCGATGCTGCAGAGCCTGAACGTGATCGATTTGATCCAGCACTTTGGGATCTTTGTGAACGATTGGAAGCGGCACTTCGAGATCTTGATTTTCTGGAATGGTTTGACGCCTCTGATCTTTGAGAAGCTGCAGATTTGTTAGACTCGGCAGAAGCTGATCTTGAGCGAGCACTGGAGGCTGGCGAACCCGAACGGGAACGGGAACGAGAACGGGAAGTTCTACTTTCAGCCCTTTCGGGACTTGGCTCTTGGGACCTTGCGTATTGGGGAGAATTTGATGCTGAGCGGTCTAAACCATGTCCAGGAGTTGGGGCAGGGCCTTGATGTATAGGGCTTCCACTACGGTTTGATTCACTATCCGATTCGGATCTTGAAGACATTGTTTTTACCAAATTGTCTATTTACATAAATATAAACCACAAAACCCTCATATATAAATATACACACAAACTACTTTCTAACCTCAAAACAAACTTGGCGTTACATTTGTTGAGGTGGGCAGTGGGGACTTTTACTGTTAGTGATCTCCCTGCAATGGTTTGGCGGATGGTAACACTGAATATTATTTATGTCTATTTTATACTTGGTGGTATTTTGGGTTGCATACTATCCATTTAAGTATTATTAATAACTGATTATTTGATTGAATATTAATGCATTATTAAGCATTTATTTCTTTTTCGCAATTACTTAATGCACTAGCCCTTTCGTACTATTACGTTTATAATCGTTTATTTCAAAAAGGCTATGCAACTGACATTGATTAGATACCGAGTGCATTGAAATTGGGATTGAGAGGTACCTGCATTAGTGTGGTGGAAAAACATGGACATAGAATCGGACGAAGAAAATGTGATAGAAGAGGATTTTTACTCCTTTTTAAACGTTTCAAAAGAGGTAATTTACAATATTTATATTTTATCATTTATTTCAAGTTTTAAAAAGGCTTTAAAGTTCCTAACCTATAAAGGTGTTAATCTGTCATGTGAATTTCGGAAAAATTATTTCTAGGCTAGCAGAGAAGAAATTAATAATGCTTATCGTCGCCTTAGCCGAATGTATCATCCTGATAAGCATGTGGATCCAGAACTTAAGAGTAAAGCGGAAGTTTTATTCAATAAAACCAAAAAGGCTTATGAAGTCTTGTCTGATCCCCACAGACGAGCTATTTATGATTCCTTGGGCATGAAAGGATTGGAAACGGAAGGATGGGAAATTGTGCAAAGGACTAAGACTCCAGCTGAGATCAGAGCTGAATATGAACAACTGGCAGAGGAAAGAGCTGAAAGACGAAAACAGCAAAGAACAAATCCTAATGGGAATATTACAGTGGCTATTAATGCTACAGACTTGTTTAATCCATATGATGACGAATTATTTGATGATGAATTTGAACCGTTAGTATAATGGATTTTTTTTAATTTAAACTATTATGTAATTTTAACAGGGATCTTTTACAAAGGTTTCCTAATATTGAAGTTTCTTCAATGCAGTTCTCACAGTCAGTTGATTTTCCTTTAACTCAGAAGGACACTTGTACATTATCAGGACAGTTACAGACGCAGAATGGGACAGGAGGTGGTGGTGTAAACCTTAGTTGGAGGCATATTTATTCCCATAAAAGTTGGGCTGAGGTGGAATTAGCTGCTGGTATTGAATAGTTTTAAATTATAACAAAACACTGTTTTTATTGGTTACAGGTAGTGGACCATCAGTATCATTTAAAGGTTTTAGAACTTTAACAAAAAGATTTTTTTGGAATGGGGGTGCAGTTTTACAGTTTACACCTGAAGGGATTCGACCTGGAGTCATGTCAAGTAAGTCTGTATGTTGTCACATGTAATCTAAATATAAATGATGAAATATTTCAGCTCTAGCAATGCAAATTGATAAACACTCAGTAGGATATTTGACTTACCAAGGTGGAATTCGGTCAATAGTTTCAACGTCCATTGTTAGAGATACAGGTAAATTAAAAAACGATTTGGTGTAACAAATTTGTCAGTTTTTTTTTCCAGAATTCAACCATTACAATTTATCTATTCAAGTGGGACTTCCACACTCATACATTTCCCTGAATTATACCAGAAAAATGTTAAGTCAGGAACTTAAATTAAAATTATCTGTAAAGTAAGTATGTTTGTCTTTCTTTATATCAAAAAGTCAAATTTTCTGATTAGAGCTGGTACATTTGGTGGTGTGGTGGAATATGGAGCTGAGAAAAAAGTATCAAAACATAGCAATTTATCTTTTGCTGTAACAGTTGGTGTTCCCTCAGGAGTTAAATTAAAGATTAGGTAATCAAATTATACTCTACAAGTACTTAAATAAACTAACGCAATGTAGGTTGACAAGGGCAAATCAAGTTTACAATTTTCCTATTCATTTGTGTGAGGAGGTTATGCCATCGCCTATATTTTATGCAACAGTGGTGCCCTTAATAGTTTATGTAGTAGTTAAGAAAGGCTTTGTGGAACCATTTCTTAAAGAACAAAAAGCGAAAAAGGTTGAAAAACAGAAGCAAAATAATTTTAATAAACTCTTAGAAAAAAGAAAAGAAGCTCAAGCAGCCCAAGACTTAATGACAGCTACATATACAAGGATTAAAGAAGCTGAAGAAAACAAAAAAGGTCTCGTCATAATTAAGGCGATTTACGGGAAAATTTCAACAGGTTAGTGCAAATACTGAGTTACTATTTGATATTATTTTGTTTTAAAGACCCTAATGAAACTGGCGATCATGAGATATCCAACGAAGTTATAGATGTAACAATCCCAATCCAGTGTATAGTTAAAGATAGTAAACTTACGATGCATGAACATACAAAGGTAGAGTATGCAACCATTAATTTGAACAAAAAGAATTGTAGAATTTCGTTGTAGAGTCAATTGCCAGGATTTTTTGATCCCGCTATAGGAGAAGACAAGATGTTGCACATAATTTACAACTATCGAGAACAGCCTTATGAAGTCACCATAAAAGACAATGAGTCTTTAAGGTTGCCTAAAAATTGTAAGATACACTTAAAAGTTAAAGATCTTATTTTATAATTCGTTTTTCAGCTCATCGTGTGAATGTAACATAGTGAAGGAGTAAAATAAACTAGTTATTTTAGAAGGAAGAAATTGTGATAAAGTTTAAGTCATCAGCTTAGTTGGTACATAGTTTGTAACTATAATTTTGTACCAATGATGTGTTCAAGTTGTTTTAAGTCGAGTACTGCTGGTTTTAAACTTTTACAAGCGCAAAATTGTTACATAGTCTTGTTAATTTAACAAAATAAATTGTTATAAACATTCTAGTGTTCATTCTGACCTAATTTGAAATTTTATTGAGTTAACGCTTGTAACTGCGACATTCCATACATTTGTTTTAAAAAATTGATTCCCTCATATTTGTTACTATTTGATTTCATAGAAGTCCAACTTGAATCAGATTCCAACATGAAGCTGCCTAAATATGTGTGTGGTGCGTTCTGCCATTCCTATAAACGATTTTTTAATTAAGGAAGTTTATCAAAAAAAATCTACCTGTGGAGACAACATTCCAAGATATTTTTGACCAGATGGTCGCTCATATAAATGATAAATATGGCCAGGTCTTTTAACAAAATTACAGGCAACATTATGGAGTTCAATACTAAGTTTAGTTTCCTCAAAAACATCTGACATTATATCATGCAAATTTTTCATCTAAAATTTGAAAATGAATATAAACTCATATAAAGTGCTATTTTCACCTGCTTTCCTATAATGTCTAGTTTATTTCTAGCATTTGCTTGCAGTGCTGTAGTAACCTAGAGGACGGGAGATTATTAAACAAAAGTAAGTAGACAATTTTTATAATTACATTTGAAACGGCATCTGAAAGTTCCATGGATTCAACATAAGACTTTCTAGCAACGGTGTTCGGGTTAACCAACGGAATGCCTAAAGGTGTTTGTTCTCTTTCAACAAGAATTACTGCAATGGTAACAATATATGAATTGCACATCGAGAAGTCATTTTAAAGTCACAGTACCTTTAGAATTTGGCTCGCTGTCATCTTCCAAATATTCGTGTATGTTTGTTGCGTCGATGGAACGTTTCATTTTTTTTTGTTTTAAATGTAAATAACAGAAAATATTAAAATATTAGTGTTTGCAGGGTTAACTTGAGATAACCTAAAACCATTTTGTCATTTGACAGACAACCTTCTTGTGTTTATCAAATCAATGTTGCCAACCTTACCAGCACCTGGAGAGCGCTAATTTGGTACTTTCAAAAATTCAAGTTGATTATTTTTTTAGGAGGAAAATTATCTCATGATTAAGGATTCTAAAGTCTTAAATTATAAGAATAGGTATAGGCCTGTGTGGGCCTGTGTATGTTTAATCATCACTGGTTTTGCATTAATAGAGTGGTAACCACGCGGTAACTTCATGTAAATGTAAATTTTGGGATAGAGGTCACTCCTTGCAAAACAATAACATAACCTCAATAAATTGCGTCATTGAGAAAATGTCCATCATTTTTTTGTTTAAAAATGTTACATGTTTTACGAATGTTGTAAGTTATTAGTAGAAATACTTTTACAAGAAAGTGTACACATTTTAATTTTAGCGGTGAAATACAGCACAAGTTCGTAACATGTGTCCGACAATTAACCACTACAGAAGTGTCCACCGCCCTGAGACCCTTTTATTTCAGTGTTCACCCAGACTTATTCGGGCAACATCCCATTCAAAGGGTAATATCGCACAATTGACCGTTGTTCTTTTACATAAAAACTATTTACTCAGGCCATCAACGAAAATTCTTTAAAGCAACTAAGTTCAATTATTGCAATGTTACAAGCTAAACGATGGATTAAACCTACTAGTCTGCAGTTTTACTTGAGGGACAAAAAGTGTGAAGAAGGTAAAATGTTCGTATTACATTATACCAGTAAAGTTTCACATTTATTCCCATAAACTTCCAACAGCTACCTTCCGCTTGATAAATATACATATACGAGAACGTGATATTCGAGAGGCTGTATTAACAATTTTAAAAACGTGTGAGTTACCCACCGAATATGTGGATAAAATTCCAAAACCACCAGAGCCCAAAGAAACTATCTGCATCAACTCTAATAATATTGATTTTTCAAAAGTTAACGAAAACGATCCAATTTTTGCTCCAATAATTATGCGACGGAAAGTGGACGACGCCAAAAAAGCGATGAGATTGAAAAACTGGCTTGCAAAAAATTACAAAGGTGCCTTAGAAAAGTGGGAAGCTAACAGACCTTTGAGGGAAGAAGTTGACCGTCTGCGTTTGAAAATTTCAGAACAGTGGAAATTAACGGATATCCGTTGGGATTGTGGCTGGAATGTGACACATTTTAGGGGTTGTTTGCAAAGTTTTATGGCTTTGGCTGAACAGCACCCTGAGGTGATACATAGTTTGAAAGGACGGACACTTGTGTTTGCTCCTTTCACTGGAATAAGTTTAGATGGTCATATAATGTTAAATAGCGCAGAAGTGAGGCATAATTGGCTTGATGTATGTTTACATAAGTGTGGAAAAATATTTTCGTGAATTATGTTATTTTAGCTTATTAAAAATGTTAGAAGATATGATCAAACACTATTCAGGATACCTGGTTTTGAAAAGTCGGTTTCTCAAGTTCTGAAAGGGATAAAAGTCGGTAGAAGGAAATTTATGCCAAAAATTCTAGCTGGAGAATATGAACGAAATTTGCAGCAAATTACAACTTCTTTAAGTGATTTTAGAGGCAGGCGAGGGTTTCCTAAGCAGTGGCCCAATTCTTTGGAGGAATTTGAAATCGTTGTTGAGACGTAATTCATTGTTGTGGATTATTTTATTGATAGTATATGATTTTATTTTAGTGAGGCTGGTCCATTAATGGTATCTCCAACTGGTCAATTCATTGTTCCTTCTTCTATACCCGGCTTTTTGTTGGTAAATTTTATTACAAATAATATAGAATTAGCTAAGGAGAAAATAAATAATTACAAAAAGTTTGTATGAAGATTTCCAAAGTATAAATTTTATTGATGTATTACTTTCAGTAACAAATATGTGGAGCGCTCACTACAGAAGCAGTGCATAGATGAATTTAAATTATTTACTCTTACTAAAGATGATAATGTTACTCCAGATCTTATGATCAAATGTTGTGAACAACTTGTGGAGAAAAAGTACGATTTAAGTCAATATTTGGAAGAAATACATTTAAATATCGCTACATATTATTCGGTGTTGTCAGATGGAGTTGTTTGTATCCCATGGAATTGGAAATTGTGATTGTGGTGCTGTAAATATAGCGAAATTGTTTAATTTTAACATTTATTTAAGTTTAAAAAATTAGGAAGACATGTAGAGTTCATGCTCGCATCTATTTTAATAAACTTGTAAAAATTATTTTTCAGTTTTCTTTGAATAGTTCTTTTTGTTAGGAAAGAAGGCGTATTTAGTTGGACTTTGAATCCTACGAAATCTGTATTTTTATTTGAAACAAACTGCTGTAGTTGTATGTTGCTCTGTTTATAATACAACGAAATATTTTGAATTTTTATATTCTCGGTATTTTTGAACTTTTGATCAACCCGGACTGATTTCTGTCAAACGGAACAGTCAAAGATCTATCCATAAAATGTTACCGGTGTGTACACTGTAGCCACATCCACGTGTTGACGTTTAAAGTATTTGACTCTGATTTGACGTTTCGCAGAAAGGTTATGTTTTTCAACAAACAAAATAGGTACAATGTAAAAACATTTAAATCATTTTATTTATTTAAAAAAAACTTGTTTTAAGATTTATTAAATTCAACAAAAGCCGAAAATAATTGTTATCCAACAGTTATTATAATCTAATAATCCTAAAACATGAGTTCTAAGGACAAAAAGAAACGTCGTAAACGGTACGAATCCAGCTCTGATTCTGATTCCATAGACAGTGAAGAAGAAGCTAGAAGGAAAGATCTTCGCGAACGTGATGAATTTGCCAGCAGACTTAAAAAACGCGATGAAACGAAAACCCGAAACATTGTCCAAGCTTCAGATCGAAGAGCTTATGAAGAAGCCGCAAAAAGGCTTAAAATGGAAAATGAAGATCGAGAAAAAATGATTCCCATGTTGCGAGTACAGTCCAGGCGGAAATATTTAGAAAAACGTAAAGAAGATAAAATCGCAGAACTTGAAGAAGATATTGCTGATGATGAATATCTTTTCGAAGAAGAAATGTGAGTTTGATACCTAATGTTTGTAATTGCTTAATTATTTGTTCGGTAGATTAAGTCAACGTGAAAAGAAAGACCGCGACCGTAAGAAGGAACTATTGAGGCTTGCTCAAGAACATGAAAAAGCACGTGAATTGGAAAGAGTACAGCGGTACCACATGCCTCGGGACTTGGGTAAAGGTTCTACAGCTGATTATGTGGAAGTCGATGATCTTGAAAAAGTGCCTCAGTCTGAACAGAAAAAATGGGAAAAGGACCAAATGGCTTCAGCTGTTTTTAAATTTGGTGCTAAAGATTCCACTAAAAAGGATGAGTATGATTTATTGTTAGAAGATCAAATTGATTTTATTCAGATTCTGCAAATGCCAGGTAAGTTTGACTTTCAGTACTCAAGTCTTTATTTTCATGATTTTATTGTAGGTAGTGATGATAAGAGAGAGCCAGTGCTTACAGAAAAAGAAAAAAGGAAACTCGATATTGACGAAACTAAAAAAAGCCTTCCTGTTTTTCCATTTCGAGACGATTTAATTCAAGCAGTCAGAGAACATCAAGTTTTGATCATAGAAGGTGAAACTGGATCTGGTAAAACCACACAAATTCCTCAGTATCTGCACGAAGCAGGATTTACTAAAGATGGAAAGAAAATTGGATGTACCCAACCCAGGAGAGTTGCTGCCATGTCAGTGGCGGCTCGTGTGGCCCAAGAAATGGGAGTTAAACTTGGAAATGAAGTTGGTTATGCTATCAGATTTGAAGATTGCACATCTGAGAGAACTTTAATTAAATACATGACTGACGGCACTTTACACAGAGAATTTTTATCAGAACCAGATTTACAATCTTACAGTGTAATGATAATCGACGAAGCTCATGAAAGGACGTTGCATACTGATATATTGTTTGGTTTGGTTAAAGATATTGCAAGATTTCGACCTGACTTAAAATTGTTAATATCCAGTGCAACTTTAGATGCAAAAAAGTTTTCTGAATTTTTTGATGATGCAAATATTTTCCGAATTCCAGGGCGTAGATTTCCTGTGGACATATATTACACTAAAGCACCTGAAGCAGATTATGTAGATGCCTGTGTTGTTTCAGTCCTTCAAATACATGCAACTCAACCACTTGGCGATATATTGGTTTTTTTGACCGGTCAAGATGAAATTGAAACCTGCCAGGAATTATTACAGGACCGAGTAAGACGTTTGGGCTCTAAAGTTAAAGAACTAATTATTTTACCTGTTTATGCAAACTTGCCAAGTGATATGCAAGCAAAAATCTTTGAGCCTACACCACCTGGTGCGAGAAAAGTGGTTCTCGCAACCAACATTGCTGAAACCTCTTTAACAATAGACAACATCATCTATGTGATTGATCCAGGTTTTGCCAAACAGAATCATTTTAATTCGCGTACTGGAATGGAAAGTTTGATTGTTGTGCCTATATCTAAAGCGTCGGCCAATCAGAGAGCAGGAAGAGCGGGAAGAGTAGCTGCTGGTAAATGTTTCCGCTTATATACAGCGTGGTCGTATAAACATGAATTGGAAGATAATACAGTACCAGAAATACAGAGAATTAATTTAGGAAATGCAGTTTTGATGTTAAAAGCACTGGGAATTAATGATTTAGTACATTTTGATTTTCTTGATCCACCACCTCATGAAACACTCGTGTTAGCTTTGGAACAGTTGTATGCTTTGGGGGCTCTAAATCATCATGGAGAACTGACTAAATTGGGAAGACGAATGGCCGAATTTCCAGTTGATCCTATGATGGCTAAAATGTTATTAGCATCAGAAAAGTAAGTCCATATTAAGCGAAAATTAGTAATTATCCTTTAGACTAGAAATTAGTCTTTAGGTAGCTGCATTGTTTTTTATTTTCCGAGCGTAAGCTAAGGACGTATATTAATCGAGTCCATCGTACGAATAGCCACTTTTATGTTTTCTCAACGTTTCATGGCCCCTATAGTACGAAAAAAGTAGTCTCCCGTTTCCGTCTGTCTGTCTGTATCCGAAAGTACTAGGCCGATTGTTGTCAAATTTTGTATTTATATTAGGAATATCATGTAGATGGTAAAATGCTAGCCAAAATATGACTAATCATCCCCACCAATAATGTGATGACGTCACTTCAAAATGGTACATAGTAAATGGGTTTTAAATTGTATAAAATAACATAGTCCTACACATGTAGTTTGACTCCGCGTTGAGTTTTTACCCGAAACGTCCAGATTTTTGAAAAAAAAAAAAAACAAAATTATAAAACAACATTTTGCTATTTCATTTTGAATCTGCAAAACCGAATGCTTTGAAATCTTGCAGATGTTTTAAGGTTATGATAGGGATGATAAATTTTTAATCAAAATATATTTACTTATCTCCTCCAAAAAATTGATGACGTCAGGTCAATATTTTGCCATTAATATTTTTTACATTTGCTTATACAGGGTGTCTCAAAGAAATTAATGACTTGAGTCAATTTATTTTATTGTTTAAATCAAAAATTGGAAAACTGAATACTTTGAAATCTTGCAGACATTTTAAAGTCATTGTAAACTTCCAAAAAATTGATGATGTTATCTCTAAATTTTGCCGAATAAATTCTACCCAAAATTTGCAAAATATGATGAGTTTTACTTGTGATTCATCATATTTTTTATTGATCAAATTAAGAACGAGTCACCCCATTGTCCCGAAAATGTGAAAATACAAACGTCTTTATTTAATAAGAATCATAATAATGATATTCAGAACATTTTGTCGATTGTAGTTTACTACTTAATAGTTTTGATCCTCTGTTTTGAGGGGACGAATTCATTCAAATCAAACTAATTTCTACGTGACATTCTTCCGAGGTATAAACATAAACACTTTCAAGTTGTTTTCCTTATCAAAGATAAGTTAAGGACGTACAGTAATGGAGTCCATCGGGCAATTTGGTACTTTCATATTTTCTCGATATTTCATAACCCCTAGACAAGGCCGCAGCTAGGGAAATATAGTATTTATTCACTAAGCGGAAGTCGGAGCAATAAAAGTCTGGACCGTCGGCATTGTGATCCGGTTATTGCAATTCGTGGAACACATCTTTTAGTTTAGTTTCTGTTTCACTCTCACGTCTACAGGTTGATGAGTGTTGTCGCTATTTGTCATAAATTACGAGTACCATAAATGATTTTCTGGTATTATATACGGCAGACGTGATTTAATTTAACAACTTGATTACGTCTCAAAAAGTTAAAAAGTACGGGAAGTAGTGCGTAAATAACTCTAGAAATTTTTTAAAATAAATAGAATAAGTTACACAAACTCTGATAAAATATACATATTTAGTTGGTTGTTTATCAAGATATTTTTATTTTAGATACAAATGTGCCGAAGAAATAGTAACTATTGCAGCTATGCTATCAGTCAACGGAGCAATTTTCTATAGGCCAAAGGATAAAATAATCCATGCAGATACTGCACGGAAAAATTTCAACCACATTGGAGGTGATCACCTAAGCTTGTTAAATGTTTATAATCAGTGGAGGGATTCTGATTATTCGACTCAGTGGTGTTACGAAAATTTTATACAATATAGGTATGCTTTGTATTACCATACTTGTGTCAGATATTACTTTTTTTTTTCGTAAGGTCAATGAAGAGGGCTCGAGATGTTCGGGAACAACTAGTAGGTTTAATGCAGAGAGTTGAAATTGATATGGTGTCCAATGTCACTGAAACTGCAGATATCAAGAAAGCCATTACGTCTGGTTATTTTTATCACATTGCTCGACTTTCCAAAGGAGGAAGTTATAAAACAGTGAAACATAATCAGGTACATATTGTATTGATTGATGCTGAACGCCAACTGAATAATTTGAAACTGATAACTATATGTTGTAATATTTTCCAGAGCGTGACAATACATCCAAATAGTGCGTTATTTGAAGACTTACCAAGATGGGTCTTATATCATGAGTTGGTATTTACCACGAAAGAATTTATGAGACAAGTCATTGAAATTGAAAGCAAATGGTTACTGGAAGTGGCACCACATTATTATAAATCAAAAGAACTGGAAGATTCCACTAACAAGAAGATGCCAAAAATAGTGGGTCGTAGTACACGAACGGAATAAAAGATGTGAGAGCATAACTTCATTTTCTTTTGTGTTCACAAGACATATATTTATATATAGAAACACTTCATGTGAATTTTTTTAATGAGATGATTTAACTATTTTTGACAATTATAGAAATTCAACTTATATTGCCAGAAATACAAAAATAACAAAAATGTAAATGACCATTAAGTACCAAATGAGAAATAAATTGTCTAGATTGAAATTCATATTTACCTGTTGTTCCATTTCTTCTGAAAATTAAGTTGTACTTGCACTGCCCTAACGTCAAAATGTTTAATGTTACACAAAAATCTATTGCTGTTTCCAGTGTGTTTTCATGTGAGTTCTTAACGCGCTGCTTTGCACATATGCTTTGTCACAAATTTCACACTTATATGGATGCTCTCCTGTATGAATCCTTTCATGTACCTTCAGTGTGGATTTTTCCCCAAAAGCTTTCCCACAGTGGTTGCACAAAAACGGTTTTTTCCCAGTGTGTCTCTGTTTATGCGAGTTTAAGTTACCTTTAGCAATGAACCTTTTGTTACATATATCGCAAACATATGGTCGTTCACCAGTGTGTACTCTCATATGTACTTTTAATTCAGCTGCAGAACCACACTGTTTACCACATTCCGGACAAACAGCATTTAAAGGCCTTCCCAGTCCTAAATGTTTCTTTTTCATGTGATTGTTAAGATGAACTTTAGTTGAACACACTTTTGAACACACGTTACATAAAAAATTGTTGTCTGTATCATGAATGGCACCAAAATGTCTCTGCATGGCTTCTTTGGTAAAGAATCTTTTGTCACAGCCTGAACATGGGAAAGGTTTGACACCACTGTGTTTTTTTATGTGAGTCTCTAGACTGCCTGCTGACAGTAGAAATTTGTTACAAATTTTACATTGATATTTTTTCTCTCTTACTGTATGGATCTGGAAAACATGCTTATGAAAGTGGTAAATACTAAAACATAAAACTTACTGCAGTGTGCTGTCTTAAAATAGCCTTTGTACCAAAAGAGCGTCCACATACTTCACATTTGAAAGGTTTCTCTCCAGTGTGGCTGCGCATATGATCATTTAGGCTCGCTTTTGAATAAAATTTTCTGCTGCAAAGTTCACATTGATAACGTCTGTCATCATAATGTCTCTTCATGTGCTCTGACAACACCTGAGATGTTTTAAATGGTTTATCACACTTACAGCAAACATATGGTCTTGTCTCATCATGGGTTTTTATGTGGCGATTATATGAATTCGTTGAAGTGCACTGCTTACCACAAACTTTACATATGAGGTCATCAACGCTTTTCTTTTTTCTTATATCACATTCACTTTGATTTTTCTCTTCTGGCACTATTTTCACTGTGTTAAGGTTACTTAAGAGTGTTGCTTGTAAGCTTCCATGTTCATTTGTATTACTGTTATCAATAATGTTTGAAAACCTTTCAGCTTCTACCTTTTTACTTATATTACTTTGAGTATCAAAGAGATTTTTTAATCCTACATTATCTATAACTTCACTGGATGCATCTGTTGCATACTGTACTGGGCACTCAAGATTTATTTCATAATTTGTACTTATTTTTTGCGTTTCTGCGTGTTCATTGGTTATATTAATTCGTGTAACGTTTTCAGAACTTTTCTGTTTTCTGCTCAGCAACCATTTACCAATTTCAAATGATCGAACAACTTGTTGTTTAAAAAGATACCAACGACTAACTTCATTCTGGCAATGGTTGCATACAAAATTGAACAGTCCGTTTTCAGGTGTAACCTGTAAAATTCACACAATATTTCGAGTGATTTCAAACGCTTTATAATACGATACCTGTACAGAAGCACATTCTAAAAGCATATCTGCCAAACCAGCTTCATAAATTAAACTCATTTGATCTTTTTTGATTAGACATATTCTGCAGACCTCTTCAATTTGTAAGTGTTCGTATTCTATAAAAGCTTCCATCGTATAACAACATTAAAATTGCACGAATATTCGCAAAAACAAAATTGTGTACAAACATAACCTGCGTTTGACTGTTTTGACATTTGAGGTTTATTGCTTTAAAATCATCAACCTGCTGGAATAAAGGAGAAAGTATGATGCCAGGTACAACGAGTTAAACAGAGATACAATTACTTAGATCGTAAAGGCTACTAAATTTAAAAAAATAGTGATGTATTGTTGGTTGCATCGTTTCATCAGAAACAATGAAAGAAATCAAAGTTTATTCAATTGTAAATATTTTTTATTTACAACTAATAACCTCTAAAGAAAATTTCAAAATTTGTTAATCGAAAAACCAAAAAAATAAATATATAGCGACTTCCCTACTTCATGACCATTTACTGTTAAAGGCCACTTTACTTCTTCAAGTATCATGAATTTTCAAATGTGTGTTTAAAGTACTTCCCTGAGAAAAGCTTTTCCCACAGACATTGCACCCATATGGCCTTTCCCCTGTATGAATTCTTTTGTGTATTTTTAAACTTGACTTTGCAGCAAATGCTTTCCCACAGTTATCACACACATAGTTCTTTTCACCTGTGTGAGTTCTAAAATGTGTTTCTAAGCTTGTCCTAGTTACAAAACCTTTAGAACATATTTTACACACAAATGGTCTCTCTCCTGTATGTTGACTCCTTATATGTATTTTTAACTGTGATGTTGTGATACACTTTTTACCACACATATTGCATTCATGTTTTGGTACTTTTTTTTCACCAGTATGTGTTCTAATGTGCTCTTGTAAAGTGTGCTTTGCTGTAAATGCTCGAGCACATATATTACAAATGAAATCTTTTTGTTTTGTGTGTTTATATTTAATATGAGACTTGAGTTGGCCAGGCATTGCAAAAGACATTGAGCATTCTGTGCAAGTAAAGGGTTTCTCACCAGTGTGGGTTCTCGTGTGTACTTTTAACTGGTATGAATCCACAAATGATTTTTCACAAATCTGACATTTAAATTTTTGGTCACCTGTGTGCGCCTATAACAAAATTGAGTTCAAGTTTAATATATTTTTTTTATAATTCAGTGTATATACCTTTTTTATATGATTTCTTAATAGCAAAGACCTCGTAAACGTCCCTTCACAGAAATCACATTTAAAGGGTCTTTCTCCAGTGTGAATTCTCATATGTTCAATGACATTAAACTGTTTATAGAATCTTTTTCCACACAATTCACACATATAGTCTCTGCTATTGTAGTGGCGTCTAATGTGATCATTTAAAGTTTGTATTTGTTTGAAAATCCTATCACACTTTGGGCATTCATATATTTTGGTATTATTATGGAATTTTAAATGCCTTTTTAGATTGTTTTCTTTTAAAAAATATTTACCACATAATTCACAGATAAAATGACTATTGTTTTTTTCCCTCTGTATTTGTTGTACTGCAGAATTTGACTGTTTTGTTTTATTTTCCAAACTTCTCGATACAATAACATTTTGAGGTATGTCTGTTAAAATATCATACTCATCAACAGGGGTATTATTATCCACAGTACATTCATGGTTAACATCTTCATTCAATTTTAGCAACTGTGACTTTTTATAATTTTGTTCAATAAGCCATTTTCCAATCTTAAATGCCTTTAAGACACGTTGTTTAAAAACATACCACTTGTTTACTTCATCCGAACAGTAGACACAAACTGAATGCAAACTGTCTTCCACTGAAATCTTTTATTATAAATTACCTCTTATGCATTAATAAAATACACCAAATTTTACCTTAACAGAAGTACATTCTTGTAATAAATCACCAAAATTGTTTTCAGTAATCAGTTTCATTTTTTCTTTTTTACAGAGACATATTCTACAGACTTCATTAATGTTTACGTGTTCATATTGCTCAAAATAGTCCATTTTATTGATAAAATCCAGAAAATATTTACAGCCCTAAATTTTCTAACCTCAACAACTGTCACTGACATAAATGCCATATTTTGGCTCACAGTTTTGACGTTTTGACCATTTTGACATTTCTATTAAAAAAAAAGTGGAAAGAAAACAAACGAAAGTCACACGTCAAATCACAAACCATAAATCTTGAAAGATTATAGATTACTTCCATTGAAACCATAAAAATAGATTAACTAAATCGAGGGTACAGAACGAAAACACGATAAGTGACGAAAATTCAGAAAACTACTTTCATATTCAGTAGTCAGTACCATCATTTAATCTTAACAGAATAGATTTGGCCTTGTCTACAGACTACAAGCCGTGGAGGTAAATAGGATGATTCTACCTCTATGCCACAAGCAAGTACCTATTCCTACTTATATTTGAGTTTCCTTACTTACTTTGTGGATAAACCTTACTGTGCAAAAATTGATTAAATAATTGTCACTCCGTTTCAAATTTTCGTCACTTATGGGTTTTCGTTCTATACCCTCGAAATATTTCTATCAAAGTCAACAGTAAAATTCTGACTAACAAAGCAACATTTCTTGTACATTTGTTGGTTGGTTTTAAAGTGTTAATAATATGTCGGAAAATGCTAAACTTGTTTCATACCAATTAGGTGATCAACATGTGACCAATGTAACATATAATTTTAATAAAAGTACCTAAGTCTAAAGTAGTGTCTAAAAAATATATTTTATCTTGAGCAATTTGGTACAAGCCTATAAGTGAAAAAAAAGTAGAATTTCCATGCTTGAAGGCCGGGAAAGTTAACAGTGACTCAACAGATCGAGGTAAGTTTTGTTACGATGGTCCTCAGGAAAAAACGAGTTACAGTTAAGGGAATCCCTAAGGCGAGTGTAATTTGTGACGCGCAGATATTAGACAAAAAAAAAAAAACAAAGTGTAGGCCGTATATTTTGTAGAGCAGAACTTGCAGAAATTAGGCGAATAAAAAATAGGGTCTAAAATATTTATACAGACAGGAAATTTATACTTAGATACATTCATCTCATACATTATCATATTATCACGTTGCACTATATTGTTGGTTGCATATAAAAAAAATTTCTTTTATAAAATTTAAAATCACAAAAGTAATGTGAATAAAAACGTTAAATGGACAACTAAAGTGGAGACAGATATCAATTTATTTATGCACCGTACATATTTAGCATATTATACGTTTGTCTTACGTGTGTTGTTATATAGTTAGGATATTTTTTAGGATTGTGTATTATTTAGGTCAATTTTCTAAATAAAATTATTTAAAAAAACATGCAATTTTAAATTTACCGCCATTTTATATTTTAAAACACCCGCAGTGTTTAGTTGACCAATCGCTGCGAGCGCTAGGTTTTTGTTGCCAATCGTTAAAACGGGAATTTTCACCGCATGCTATGTTTTGTGATGATGTCATTCTGCAGTGCTGCCACCTTTTCCTCTGGTCGTGAATCACAAACAACAACCGCAACAACTCACTACCTGTCAAATGTAACAATAATAAACAACTTTCCATTTACCACTTGAACGATAATAACGTGAAACTATAAGAAGTGCTTCTTTTTAATGTAACTTTTCTAAATTAATATCCTTATATAAGTGTGTGTAGTGAAAATCGCGTGAACGTTCAACTCATAAAGACGATGAATCAGGGGTTAATACACCCCTAGAGTTCCACGTAATGAATTAAGTTACAAACAAATGTATTAATTACACGAAATGTTAACACCAGGTGTGCGAATTGTGCGGGGTCCTGATTGGTCCTGGGGCAACCAAGGTATTTATCAAGAGGTTAAGGTTATGTTTAATTATAAAAAATTTCAGATGGGGGCGAGGGATTTGTGGGTACGGTATGTGAAATTGGAAAATCCGGTAGTGTAGGGTCCCCTGATAAAACAGTGGTTGTTCAGTGGGATAATGGGACGCGCACAAACTATAGAGTTGGGTATTTGGGCAAATATGACCTCCGTGTCATTGACAATGCACAAATAGGTAAATTAATTAAAACAGCGATAATAGAGTAGATTAAAGAATTTAGTCAGCTTCCTAAAGATTTCAGGAAGTTGTGGCAACCTCTCATGAATAAAAAACAGAACAATAGGCCTTGAAATTAATTATTCATGCAATTAATACTTTTCATTTTAGGCGTCAAACATCCGAACATAGTTTGTGATGGCTGTAAGAGCCAGGGCATATCTGGAATGAAGTATAAGTGTAATGTTTGTTATGATTATGATCTTTGTTATATGTGTTACCATGGGGATAAACATGATCTTGGACACACTTTTAAGAGATTTGATACAGCCACAGCTGTGGGGTAAGTTTATTATTGCCAAAATAAGCGGTTGTTAAGGTACTTTTTACAGGGTTGATTTGCCGCCCCGGCAAAATGGCCACAAGAGTGAATTGAAGGGGATTTTTGTGGGCGCCAAGGTAGTAAGAGGATATAATTGGGAATGGGGCAATCAAGATGGTGGTGAGGGTAAAGTGGGCAGGGTTTTAGATATTAGGGGTTGGGATAAAGAAAGCAGTCGATCTGTGGCCAATGTTACTTGGTTGTCTGGATCTACCAATGTTTATCGTTTAGGACATAAAGGCGATTGTGATATAAAGTTTGTAGAGCCAGCTTCAGGAGGGTCTTACTATCCAGAACATCTTCCAGTATTAGGTAAGTGTGCTAATGAACATTAAATATTATTAACATTCATGTTTATAAACATTTCAAATATTTGTTTATGTATTGTCCTAAACAAATTGTTTTATTTTATTGCACTTCATGTTTTAATATTAGAGGTTGCTTAGTCAATTGCTTGATAACGCTGTCATAATTAATAAGCCAACGTATTGTCGTTTTCACTTTTGTTGAGCTCTCTATTAAGGATTTACGTGGTGTTTATAGATCGCTATCTGTATGAATATGTAACTGCCTAGTTAACATATGTGCAAAACAATAGAAATGGAATATTTTAATTATGAGCCGTTATTTTCCATTTGGCCGATTTTATTAATAAACTTTCTGTACTACTGAGAATGTTATTAAGAGCAAAACTAATAATTACGTGCACATAAACTTTTAGAATATGTACTCATTATTTAGGTAAAGTTTCTAGAATTGGCTCATCAACAAAAATATGCTTTCAAGAAATATGTAGTTAAAGTTGATGGAGCAATAATAAAAATTCATAATTTCAGTTTGTTTATTATGAGTTATTTTGAGGGTGAGAAAGGGGAGTTAGTATGACAACGCTGTTTATTAAATGAAATTAGCAAGATTTGTCGCCATCATAAATATGAATGAAACAATTGAAACGACAGTTGTGTCATAAACTCTTCATGTTGTGTATCTTGAATAACAATAAGCGAATTTTTCAGATCTATTTATGATAGTATTAGCTTGAATTTCCGACTTTAAAACTGGAAATAGTGTTACCAAATTCAAGGTTTTTACGTGAAATTTTTTAATTGTTAAAAAAATTAAATCGTCTCATTTGTAACAACAATAACTTAAATTTGTACACTGATATCTGACATTATAATTATTTTTTAATTGCTTCACTGGAAAATTGTGAAATATTAACAGTTTTTTAATGTACTTCATACATTCGTTTCATGGTTTCAAAAATTTTCTTTAGTATCATTTAAGCTAGTTTTATAATCGTCTATCACCTTGTATATTGATATTGGAATGTTTCGTTCTATATTTTAAATAAGTTTGTGATTTAAATAAGTTGAAAAATAAGGTTGTATAATGACCGGCTGGTAAATTTACAATACCTGACAAGAAATCCTTAATGCACTAAGTTATGCAATTAAAATTGTTTTTGGTTGGTCAACCGCGAAATTTTTTCTTTGGTGTCTTACTAAAGCAAAATAGTTTCTTAGTCGTTGAACTGACTGAAATAATTTGCAACATTAATGTTTAAAATATTCAAAAAATTTAGATATTGTATGGAATAAAAAATATACAGGTCATAACATCGAACAAGCAGTAGCCCGTCCTGCAAGATCAGGTCCTCCACCATTTAGTGTTGGGGATAAAGTTAAAGTAGTCGTCTCGGAAGAACAGTTGAAGACAATGCAACAAGGTCACGGTGGATGGAATCCTAAAATGGCCGAAGTAGATATGTGTTCTTCTGGAATCAAATATTTCTCACAGGTGATTTTTGTAGTACATTGGAAAAATTGGAAGAGTCCACAGAGTTACTGACAAAGGTGATATTAGAGTACAGTATGAAGGGTGCCACAATCGGTGGACTTTCAATCCAGTCACTCTATCTAAGGTTAACTCGGTAGCGGTAGGCGACATTGTATGCTTAAGAACCGATATTGAAAAAGTGAAGGAATTGCAGAAAGGCCACGGGGAATGGATCGAAATTATGAAAAATGTAACCGTTATTTTAAGTGTAAACTTCTTAATTTAATAATTGAAACGAATTCTAGTCGTTGGGTAAATTAGGCAAAATATTGAAAATCTACTCGGATGGAGATCTGCGTGTACAACTCGATGGACATGCTTGGACTCTGAATCCGCAGTGCGTCAGGTTGGTGCCTGGAAGTGCAGCGGAACTTGCGAATACAATGCAGGCGACTCAAAATCAAAGACAAGAACCGTCAAGTTTGTATGAAATTTGTAAGTGATTCGCAATCTGATTTTAACTTTTAGTGGAATGGCCACCGACCAATCCAGCGGATAATCAAACAAATGGAGTGGCCGATCAGCTAGTTAGAGCGGCAGCTCAGGGTCATTTGGAAACCGTACAAAGACTGCTCGAAGGGGTGTCACGCAATATGGTTGACATGCGAAGCGGTGGGAAAACTGCCTTGCAGGTGGCAGCACATCAGGGGCATGCAGCTATAGTGAGACTGCTACTTCATGCAGGGGCTTCCGTCAACGCCAGCGATAACGATGGCGACACTTGTTTACATTATGCAGCTTTTGGTAATCAGCCAGAGGTAGGGTTAAAATTTTTTTTTAAAGCCTAAATCGAATCGAATACATAAACTGTTGTTCTTGTAGAAAAAATCTTAGTTTTTTTTTTAAATAAGTTGCTAAAATTTAAATTCAAAAATTATATAAAATCGAGTGCAGAACGAAAGAGGCCAGGGGTGGAGCTTATGATGTGTGGCTTCTAGACCACACAAAAGGTTACGTAGTTACAGTAAATATTAGGTACTTTCAAAAAATCATTGTGAATTTCAATGATAAAAGAAAATATAAATAATTTTATAATCCCATTCATAAAATTGTTACTATTATTTATTAAATGTGGAAAAAATAATATATTCTTCTGGTTGGACGCCACTGCAAAGACGTTTTCGCTTTCGGACTAACAGTGGACTCGATCGAAATAAATTCGACACTCCACAAACCACGTGATGGCCTCTTTTGTATTGCACTCGATTCTAATCCTTACACTTTTTAAAATGTAACGTTAGCATGTTGATTTTTCTAAAACAGGTTATAATTTTAAAAAGAAAATTTATAATTATTAAATTCGGTTTTAAATTTAAAGTTAGAAACACCAAGTACGTTCTATCCTTGAGGCGTGAACTGTAAAATAAATAAAAAAATAGTTTTTTCTTCTTCATTGTAACGAACAGAATCTGTTGGAATATAAGTCAATTTTTAAACTATTCTGCTGAATTGATAAGTGTGTTTTATGTATAGACAAATGAAAAGTCCGTTATGTGAATTTTAAAAGTTAACCTAAAAAGTTTTAATATTACTTACATATTTTCTTCTTTTGCTCCCGGGAATGTAACTCGGAGCATATGAATGGTTTTTTCGCATACATATTTCTTTGACTGTAGATTTTTATAAAAAAATATTAGCGGATTAATAAACACGTAGACACATTTTTTATTTTTGGCGTGACACGCTCATAGGTTTGGTAGGGATGCATTTACAAATTTATTATTTATATATTATTGATACAATTTTAATTTTTTACCCAAAAATCTGCACTTGCAGAAAAAATTGAGATGACGTCATCAAGTTTTTGAAGGGAATGAACAAATAAATATTGATTATCGATTTACCATCTCGATGACAACCTTAAAGCGTTTGCAAAAGTTTGGAACAGTCGGTTTTTTGTTTGCTAAGATAAATTTTCATATTAAGTCTAATTATACAGAGCGTTTACATAAAAAATAATTATGTAATATATTCAAATATTGATATTTCAGTTTTTTCAATAAAACACCCTATATTTTATTACTACGTATTATTCTGTTTTTTGTTCTATATTGTTTTTGCTAAGTATTTTTTGCGCGGGGCGGCGCATGCGTTTATTTCGTAACGATGTACTTACTAAACTCCATTAACATAGGTTCATAAATAAAAAAGTTATTCGAGTCCCCTTTTACCTGACTCACGCTGTATAAAAAGGGATTTGATGCGATCCATTTTAAAATATTTTAAGAAAATTGTGGACAAAATCGACTGAAAACACGATCAAAGACAGCCATGAATTTTTGAAAATTTGTCTTTGATGGAATATCCGCCTCGTCAGATTATTGTCAATTTGAACGTCTGAGTTAAAAATGCGACTATCATAGACACACTTTCAAAGATCCATTGCTGCTTTTGATTGTGTTTTTTATTGCTCTCTCGATATAAGATACAGTTGTGAAGGCGATCCAGAAACTATGTTTCTTTTAAACATATATCTTGAGAAAACGAAAGCTGAAAACCAGGAGGGTGGGTGGTGCTCGAAAATTACAGGGTGTTTGTTTTTTTTAAGTGAAACAAAACAATGTGAAAATAAGATAAAAAATTTTACCTGCGCATGCTGAGAATTTTAAGAAATGTAAGGGTAGAAGTACATTATCCTCGCATTTAAAATTATGGGAATGAGTGTAACATTTCAATATGGAAAAAATGAGTTGGTCAAATTCGTATTCAAATAGTTTTTATTTTGTACTAGGTTATTTTTAAGATACATTTTTCCATTACTAAAGATTCTCTATAATCATAGTAGATGGAAGTAGTTCCTTCTGAAATACATATGTATGTACATTAGGGTGATTCAAAAAAAAAAAAAATTTTTTTTTTCGTGTCAAAGAGGTTCAAAAGTTTCTTTTCAACGTAAAAAAATACCAGTTAAAAGTTGAGCTCTTAATATTAATATTAAGACCGTCCGCATCGCGTTTTTCTATTTCCCATAAGAATAACATGGGAAAATTTTTGTTTGCACCTTCTGATTTTTATTGCTAGCCCGTCGTGTGTCGTGAAAAAAATTCAATCACATATTTTTATAGAGAATTGAACGCTCTACAAAAAGTGTCTCCTATGATTTTGCGAGAAACCTGACTATGATTTTTTAACCCACTGATGCTGAAAATGTTCGGAAAGAGTTTTACTGGCCTTATTATAGCATAAAATTATAAACAATTACTGTTTAAAAAACTAAATTTAAAATGTGTATAAATTTTTGTGGTGATTTATTCCAATAAGACCATCAAATTTATTGTAATGCATCAAAAACGTCAAAATTTGGATAAATTTAACTTTAGCCTAAAATAACTCTTCAACTATCAGGTTTCTCGCACAATCATAGGAGACACTTTTTGTAGAGCGTTCAATTCTCTATAAAAATATGTGATTGAATTTTTTTCACGACACACGACGGGCTAGCAATAAAAATCAGAAGGTGCAAACAAAAATTTTCCCATGTTATTCTTATGGGAAATAGAAAAACGCGATGCGGACGGTCTTAATATTAATATTAAGAGCTCAAATTTTAACTGGTATTTTTTTACGTTGAAAAGAAACTTTTGAACCTCTTTGCACGAAAAAAAAAAATTATTTTTTTTTTTTGAATCACCCTAATGTACATGATTGAAATATATTTGTATTGTTAATTCGAGCGATAATTTAAACTCAACAATTTATTCCTCAGTAATACAAATTTATACAACTAACTACACAGCGATTATAATTCCGACTCAACTTAGACTCTAATATTATCTCGTTGACTGGACTAAAACTGATTGCTCCCGACGGTGGTCTCTATTTAAACCCATACGTTCCTTTCTGGATAGACTTCCACAGAACCGCTTTTAGGCACTTTTTTGTCGAACCGTCTTCGCCGTACATACTAGAAAGCCCTCGAGCAAACCAATAGGTGTCGTATCGAAGCGGCGTATGGGTTTATTTCATAACAGTATACATTTGTATAAATATATAAATATATTTCTTACAATTACTTAAATTTGTTACTCCCATTAATAATTTTTAAAGCGATTTTGCGAAATATTTCGGCGTGGCCGTTTTTTTTTGCCGGTCAGTATATAAAATGCATATTTACGACTACTTGCATACTAGGTTTTTGAAGTAACGTTAAGATTATCAGTTTTTCTGTTGCATTAAACAACAGAAGCTTTAGAGAGACTAGTTCTTCTATACTCAAATAAACCTGATACAACTCGTTATGATTTCCTGTTCAAATTTTTACATCCTATTTATACACCGACATGGATATTGTTTCGTACTTTCTAGTATCTGTCCTAGTGTTGCGTATAAAGAACCGCCTCGAAAACGTCGTTCTCTTTACGCTTCATGATCACTTTTAAAAGAAGTTTTATGTAACAGTGTGTAGTATGTTTCTATATTACAAGGGTAACTAGTTACACAATGGTTGGTACACTTAGTTCAAGAACAAACTCGGACGACTCGCTAGCTGACAGACTTTCGAATTTTTTAATTTATTTATTTAATTTTCTTTAGGAGGACGTTTGATGTCAATTCTAAATTCGGAGATAAAACTTAACAACCAAAAAACGTCATTTGTGTCAGAGCTTTCAGAAGATTCGTATATTGCATGTTGTATATTGCGAATCCACTTTATCGTTAAGTTTTGTCTGCACCTTTATATGCATTTATACATATATAATATTATAAAACACTGTGTTTCTATTGTCTGTCTTTCTTATTCTATTCTTATTACAACATATCATATACAGAGCTTTCATAAGTATTTCTTACATTCAATGACCTGTGAAATTTGTAAATGTTGCAGGTTTGCCACTTCCTGGCAATGGTAGACATTTTAAAAGTTTACGTAACATGCTTAAAATGTCATCTGTCAGAAGAATTATGACATTTTAACTGTCGTTGGTATTACATATATTGTATAGTTACACTCTCGCAAAGAGACGGAACATATCAGTGCCCACTTGAATGTTAGAATCACTTATGAAAGCATGCACTTAAAACATTAATGGACTTAACGTTAATTTTAGCTATCACTTTGACAGTACATAGTTCTCTCCACGATCTAACACTGACATTATTATTTATGCATATATTTTTGGGTGTCTTCTTGACACAATAAATAACTTGCGTTATTTTGTGATTTATTTAGGTACTGGATCTCCTCATCAAGGCGGGTTCGGAGCTAAACACTGCCAATCGCAGCGGCTGCACTGCCTTGCACATTGCAGCGCACAAGCAGCCGGCCCGATGTGTTCAGATTTTGCTGTCGGCTGGTGCTGATCCGAACTGTACTGACCTTTACGGCGACACTGCCTTACACGATGCCATCGGAAAAGATAGTTATCAGGTGGTAGAACTGTTGTGCGCGGCAAGTGGCATTGATTTCACTCTTCGGAACAAGAGGGGATTCAATGCTTTGCATCATGCCGCGCTCAAAGGAAAAAATTTCGCCACTAGGAAGCTTTTAACGCAAGCGAGGCAGCTGGTAGATGTGAAAAAAGATGACGGCTTTTCGGCCTTGCACTTGGCGGCCTTGAATGGTCACAAAGAAGTGGTCGAAACTCTTGTCCACGTAGGTCAGGCGGATATTAATTTAAGAAACAATAGAAATCAAACTGCCCTTCTCCTTGCGGTCAGTCAAGGTAAGTACATTTCATTGTTTGTTTTGTAATTCACGTCAGATCGATCAGATTATTATAAAATTTCGGTTTATAATTAGAATAAATTAAAACATCCGTGTTTTCTTAAATACTTGTACTATTTGGTGTGTTAAAAAAATTGTTTAATGGTTAACAAACGGTTTTGGCTGTGTAATTTAAATAGTTTTGTTTGAATTTTTTTGAAAACCTTCGTCACAGTATGACATTTTTTGTGAAAATACTTGACAGTTTATTGTTGACATGTTGACATAAAACTGTAAATATCTTGCCAGCCTAACAAAAAACTGCACTGGGTAACTTCTATAGAAGTTTTTTTTATTAAAGAGAATTATGTTGGTAGCATTTTATCAGATAGTTGTTGGAATTGACATTAATAACATTTCTGTCCTTGTTACTAAACATCATCTACAACCAGTTATTTGTAACTGATGTAGACTATTGTCTTACACAAATAGATTTGAAGCCCAGCGAAGTTTTGAGGCCGTACTTAAATTGATATCAATACAAGAAAATTTAAGAGAAAGTCCAATAAGAAACTACATACGGAGAATGACAGTGACAAATGACAAGAATATAATTGGCAAATTTTTTAATAGTTTTGTGACTTTATTACCTATCGCGGTGAATTATGTAATTATAGGTGTCACATTGAGAATGTATGAGTTACTGCGGTCACTTTTGCTTTATCTGACGTGGTATTTTTCTTTCTCGCTCTGTCAATATTCTGCTAAGTCGTGCAATTTATTTTTAAAATAATGGTGTTGCCAACACCAACGCTTTCCTTGTTCAGTTTGATAGTTATGGTCAAATAATTGCTATGCCCATATCATTATTTTAAAAATAAATCGTACGGTCTACTAGATTTTTTTTTCGTTCATATGATATTGAGCATTAACTTATCTATTAGTCGTAAGTACCGTGTGATTTTTGAAATTTTTTAGACAAATTCTCATAAATAATAAACGAAATGATATTTTAATTCTAAATTTACGCAAACTTATAAAAATATGAGATATGTATCGAGAACTCGAGATGATTTTGAGTATGGTAAGTACAAAATTGTGTTACAGGAGCATTCCACTGTCACGTTCGGGACATTTGTAACAATAATTTTATGTAAAAGTTAGTCACATTACTTTTATAAAGCGGAAATGACCAGAGTGGCGGCTACCTTAGAAAAATTGAGAGTTTTTTGAACAATTTTGTTCAATTTGTTTTTAGGTTTTTGTTTTGCAAATTACAACAAATTCAATACTAAAGTATGTCACGTATGGGACATCAAAAATTCTCATATTCTAAATGTATTGAAGAAATTTTGTTATATCTGCTTCGTTTTAATTATCCGAAGAGGGTGTACTTTATATATTAATAGTAGAAGTACAATTTTTAATTTGGTTATCATTTTGAATTATTGTCTTTGACGGTTTTTTCATAACAAATTATTTTTAAACGGTCACGTATGGGACATGTGTGAATAGTATTAAATTAAAAACATTCTAATTCACAATTTTAATAATTAATCAACACAGAACACACCATAATGACAAAACTAAACATAAACAATAATAATCAAATAAATTACAATAAATCACATGCGTTTTTAATATTTTTTATGTTTGTAAAATCTAGAGCATTTATTAGAAATTTCAGCGAAGTGGTTCCGTATGCAGTGATGTGATGCATTTCTTGCCAAACATTTTGACATAAGTTAATGTATTTGTGTGATATTTATAAATTGTGGCTGACTGCGGGTTTTAAGAATTTTAAGCAATCAAAATGCGTAAAAACTTTATTGTTTTACTTTATTTTTAAAAATATTGTAAGTTCCCGTTTTTCGTGGAATGCTCCTGCAACTCTTCATCGCTTAAAGACGAGCTTATGCCAGTTTTCCTGCGTGTTGGCATGTGAACTTTTGGTGGATAAGTACGGTGTTGGTGATCTTTATTAAAAAAACATTAAATGTTTTCTTTGTTTAAGAAGATTTTGAAGAGCCACTTAAAAAGTTTTAATGTTTTAGCACTGCTCCCGTATGACTTGAAAAAAACAACCAGAATTTTAGTTAATATTTTACTTTGTGTAGAATTTATAGCAAAATGTCATTTGCGCAAAAATTACTATGTATCTCCAAATGTCAAGTTCTGTTGAACAATTTCGGTTTTACATTTTATTTTTTCTTATAATCCTAAATTTTACTATGACATTTTTAAAAATTGTATTTGATCGTTGTAAATGTTGTTTTTGAAAAACATGAATCCATGGACTATTATCGCACATAAAACTGAAGTTCAAAGAAATTAAAAATCAATATTTTTATGTGCAACCAGATATATAGAAATATTTCTGTCTGTAACATGATTCATATTTTGAAACTATATTCTTTTTATGGTTATACGCTAGTACCTACTGAACAAAAACAGGAATATTAATGAAAAGTGATAAAAATTGAACACCAACACTCGTCATGCCAATATTAATATTTGTTGCGCATAATTGTATCACGTGTAAATTATTTAAAAATAATAATTTCGCAAATAATTAGAGCACAGAAATAGTGGGATTTTAGAACCGTGAAATGTGCAAACAATTTGCATAATAGTTTTATCGTCGACGGACGTTCAAAATCTAAACAAATGGTCATGTTTTTACATTTAAATATTTGAACTTCAAGGAACCTAGAAATATAAAGGCGCGAATACTCGTATCACCAATATAAAACCAAGAAGAAATAAAATTTTACCGACAGTTACTTAGATGTTTTGTTGCGGCAAGGTTTTAGTAACTTGGTTTATAATTCATTCACATTCTACCGCTGTACCTACTATATACTTTTATTCTTATTTATTATATTGCTTGGTTGTAATAGTAAATGCAAAAATTATATAGTTCTTAATTAGTACGTAGTTTATTGAAAATATGTATCAATTTCCACTCTAGATGAAAATTATTTCTGTCTAGATTTAGCCACAAAAAATTAACTACATAGTTCATCTTTTGTTTGACTCTTGGCTTATTGATTGTTGGAAGTTAGACTGAGTTTAAGGCCATTTAACGAAACGACAAAAATTAAGATCTCACTGTATTATTTTGGACACGTGAACCTGTGTTAGAACGTTTGCTTACCCCTTTGCCAACAAAGTACAAAAAAAAAAATAGTAATATTCTTTTTAAAAACACCAAATAAAACTAGGTTGTACGAGTTGGCACCATAATTTTCGGTTTCTGGGCCGAACATTTAACTAAAAAAAAAAGAAATTGGTTAAAACTATGTATATACATTACATAGAAAATTAGCTGAGCTCCTTCGACTTTAGTTAACTACACCGACACCATTTACATGGATGTAACACAAATTTAATCTTTTAAGCTAGTGAAAAAAAGGTAGATATATCGAATATACTCCCTACAATCAATTGATGTCAAACGTACTATTCGATCGGAAATAAACTGAAGTAGATTTAGCATTGCCTGCCAAGCGTTTGTTGATACTACCGCACGCATTTAATTTAAAATATATATTGATATAATTAATCTTCAACAATCATTTTTTTATCATTAGGCGTTGATGTTTTTTGGATTTTTTGAAAACATGTTTTATTGGAGCAGAAATCTCTTGCCCAAAAGATGGACAAGGGAACGTAATACTCCTAATAATTTTTTAGTGAAAGCTCTGTCAGCTGGCTGACACTATGTTGTGATGTGTCAGTTGTAGAGTAGACCGCCAATACAATTGACGTCATAGCCAACTCTAATTCCTTTTATTTTCGATCGCACGATATTAGTATGGTATCGAACTACAAACATAAAGTGACATACAGTTGGGCCGAGACTAGATGTATTTGAAATGAAAAGAAGAGTGTTTATTGTGAAAAGCAAACTGAAGATGACTCGAATAAATTGTTAGCGTTCATGACATTTCGCTATTAATTCAGTGGATCGTTATCATAAAGATAAGCAACATTTCTGATCGTGACAGCCAGGCTATGAACATGGAATATGGAATGCAAACTCTCCTTTAGAAGATTTCCATATGGTGCTTAGTTAAATATGGTCCGTTGTTTTGATATTTCAACTACTTAATTTATATATTTTTGTGGGTTTTTTAGCTCTTTTTTCTGGAACCAGTTAATGACGATAGAATCAGAAATTGTCAATGTTTCACTATACTTCTAATTAATTCTCTTTGTTTTGAATTTTTTTGTGTTTTATAAAATATTAGATATTTTGTTTTGGCGGGAGTATAAAACGAAATTTACGATCACTAATGCATTTTATTGCCAAAAACATAATCCAGCATCTGGTGACTTTATAAAATCCACACAGACTTTGGACATTCAATGTAATAACATATGTACAGTCATGCTCACATAAATCCCGTACAACCTCTGTTTTACGTTATGTCGAAATCAATACAAAATCAATAGTATGGATACAAATACAGATTGTCAGCTGTACGGGATTTATGTGAGCATGACTATACTTGTGATGTGTTTATTTATTATACAAATAATACAAGAATAAACTGACACATTTTAAGAAGTATCCGTTATTAGGTAAAGAAAATACGGAGGTCATAACAATGTATACTAAATGTTTGTTCGTAGAAAATATTTTTAACAGTTTTAAAATGATTGTAACAATGTTAGTATCCTACATAATAAATTAAAGTGAATTAGTAAATTAAATTAAAAGTCGATGATCGTTACCATTTTTAAAATTCTGTCTGACGTGAATTATAAGTTTTTGGATTTTTTTTCTTTTGCCCCTGGGACATAATCTAGTGAAATGTTGTCGTTGTTACCAGGACATTGCGGAGTTATTGAACTCTTAATCAAACTGAAGGCCAACATAAACGCCAAAGATGAAGATGAAGATACAGCTTTACACTTAGTTTTAATTAAAAAATCCCATCTGAACGGGGAAATAAGACAAGAAGATAGTCCAGATATTTTTACTATATATGAAAGTATAAGTCAAGTTTCCGAATTCCGATTGGCTATCGCAATCGCTTGTTACCTCATTCAAATGGGAATAGATTTAGATGCTCTTAATAGTAAAGGACAATCTGCCTTGAGTCTACTTCAAGAATCAAGTTTACAAGAACTGCTAAAAAGTTACAAGCCAAATTTAGATAGTAATCAAATACAACAGAATACTCAGGAATCTTTGGGATTAGAGTCTTTGAATCTAAACGAAGCGAGACACTCGACGGACGGCTATAATTTAACTGACAATACACCGAAAAATAGTCCGGCTAGAAATCTAAGCAACGACGAATCGAAAAATACCCGTAGAAGTAGACGGGAGAAGAACGACAAAATATTTGATATTGGTAGCACGTCGCAGGAGAACTCCCCGAATCATAAAAATCATTATTATCAAAACGAGATTGTAAGCAGTAAGCCAGTCGAGTGTTTGGTTTGCTCGGAACTATCTGAAGAAAACGTTCGGTTAGAACCTTGCAATCATAAACCAGCTTGTGAGGACTGTTCGTCGCGTATGAAGAAGTGCTTACAATGCGGTTCCATCGTTCAGAAGCGTATCACAAAAGACGGGAGAGTCATTCCGGCCAAATCAAGACAGCCTAGTGCGGAAAGAATGAGGTACTTGGAATGTAAAATCGCAGAAATTGAGGAGAGTCACGCATGCAGCATTTGCATGGAAAGAAAACGAAATGTTGTCTTTCTGTGCGGACACGGAACATGTTCGAAATGTGCAGATACCCTCAAAACGTGTCACATGTGCAGAAAAACCATCACGAAAAAAATACCTATTTATTAAGCTTTTATAAAGACGTTTCTAAGCATGTTGTAGATGAGTTTGGTTGAGATATATAGTTGCCATTAACAATGGATTTCGATGCATATTTGAAAAATATTTATATAATTTTTTGCAATTACAGTTTAGAGAATTTTTGAGCATGAAGTAACGATCCAGTTCAGAGTATTTGTAATATTTATATTCATGCGATATTTGTATGAGAGTTTATAATAAAGCACTAACACGCAAATAATTTCGGTAACCTACATGGAAAGTAATGGGCAATATTGATAAATATGAGGAAATGGAATAATTTACAAATTATTTGTGTGGGGAGTGTTCTTCTGTTTTGTTAAATGTATATTTATTCCTTTGAAACTGTGATGCATATTTTTTTTCATTATTACTTTGTAAGTAGGATACGTTCCCAGATAATTACGTAAGATGTATCGATTCTTTATAAATTAGACTGAAAATAAAAGAATATTAAACTTTCTCTTATTATTTTGAACAATTTCATGTTACTCACGTGTGTCGATTAGTGGTGCCTCGGAAAAGAGGCTATGGAGTGTCGCTCACATATAAATTTTAATAAAGAAATATTTCGTGTATTATTGACTTCATAAGCATTTTTCAGCGGATCCCTCATAAAATTCAATAAATACAAGCAATGACACGTCATACAGTTAGGTAGATCACGTGCCGTACTGAAATAATTACGTAGGCCACGTGGCATATTGAAATAATTTTTATTTGATACTGCAACAATAAGAGAAGGTAAGCGGATTTGCTGCCTCTACTGTGACGAATTGGAAAAAATTACCGCAAGTTGAGGAACCATAACCGCAGTATATCTTTTGCCGAACTTTCACATAAAAACTTATTAAATACATGTTTGTGGTGTCCCAGTTTGAATTAAAATTTCGCGCTGAGAGGCAAAAAAAAAACTGAAACCGCATTTGAATAATTTGAAAAATAAATTAAGAATATTAGTAATATAGGAAACCGTACATTTTCAGAGGAATTCCACCCGTTTGACAATGCAAAATAGCAGGTAGAAAATTTGACGTATTATATATAACTAAAGCTTCTGGATGTTTAAGTATTACATTATAACAAACACACTCTTTAACCTCGCACCCGAGATTCATTCACAATTCATTTGTAGCATTTAAACTGGTCTAAAAGTTGTCCATTTTGAGAGAAAGCACTTTGGACTCGAAAAACGGGGAAGGGGTTAATATTTTTCTTCCATGTTTAATAATATTTTTGCGGCTTGTACTGAACATATTTATTCTCGACGGTGCCGCTCTAGAGTAAGAGTTCCCGAGACCAGCTAGCTTATTGTGATTTTGATTGTATTAAATCTGTGTTTCTTCGCTCCACGAAGTAATCTGTGGATACGATCTAAAATAATTAAGCATTTGAAATAACACATGATTTAATTTCGTGTAAATTCTTGTAAGTTTAAAATTATTGATAAAGTGTGACGTAATTATATTATGTAAATTCTTTCTTATATGTGGCGTAATTAATTTAAGGTTTAACTTAGTTTAACTCATGGGGGTTATCATAAAAAAAATAAATTCGTTAAATCAAATTTTGTAATTTGTCCTGGAAAGTGGATTTGTTTGATTGTAAGTGTTTTAACGGAGAGGGAATTTCGGCCTAAATAACTTTGAAGTATCAGAAAGGGCTCATTTTTTTATAATTTAGCAATAGTGTAACAATGAACAAAATTAATGAGCCTAAATTATTATTAAAACAAAATTTCTAGAACTTATAATATGTAAAAAGTAAGTATAAATAATTGATAAATTCCGTTTGTTTTTAACTTGAATATTTAATGATGTCATCCTCATAAAATATATTGTTTTGCTGTAAACAACTTTGTGATATAAACTTTTACAAATCATTATCTTGCTTGAATATAACTCGTGAAAATAAGTTACATTACGTGGTCAAATGTCATTTTTAAGTAAGTCTACATATCAAAAAGGGGTAGCGTTTGAAAAATTGAAAAATTGGTGGCAGTAAATGAAGAGGGGTGCTGCAGCCACAACATTTTAACCACTTCCGACTTCATTCCTATACATTAATTAACATTTCGTTAAACTTGACTTTTACGGAATTTAAAAATTTATGATTATATTAAACACCGGATGAAAATGACCGCAAGGTAGTCAAAAGATCTTTAAACTTGGGGAAAACAGTTAACAGTTGTAAACTTTTGTTTCTTTTAAAGTTTTGGGATGTTTAAAAGTAAAGACACATCCTCCATTCTGCGCTGTCCGCCTTGGTTTGGAAATGATAGAGGAAGCAAGAGGTAATGTATAGATTAGTGTAGTGTAATTAATACCTACATAATTTGTTTTGTTCGTGAAAATAACAGCAAAATTGTAAAAATGAATTGTGTGTGAATATTTTGCATCTTTATATTGATAATCACCTGTGTAAGTTAAGCTTGGAAAGTACGCAAGTATCCGTCTTCTGTTTTCTATAGGTCTGGCTTTTCGCGATTTTATTAGTCAACGATTGCTCCCTTAAAGTAAGGAACTGATTTTGAAATTTTAAATTATTTTAAGATTATAGCATAAATGCGGCAACCCCAAAACTGATTTATCCGTCTCATTGTGGTATCCTGAGTTTAAAAATTCAATTTCGCGTTAAAAAACAACGTGAAAAAAATCTACACACAGCGCGAAAATTATGTTCTACTAATGAATACCTAATATTGCAGTATTTTAATTAAGATTCATTTAGTGTGCGATGCATCGATGAATAAAAACTGCAAAAAATATCTGATATGGTATCGGCAAGAATTTTTTGTTTATTTTTCGTGTTAGTCAAAGGAGTTCAGTCGCTGTCGCTTTTGACTTAGTTGAGAGCGTATGCGGTGTGTAAATAAGTTTAAGTGGTTTATTTTGGTTAAAAATAATTTGGTTTCGGGCTTAAAGTGAAAAGTAAGTGTTGTGATGTGCCCATGAGGAAGGAGTCTGCAAGGATCGGCGCGGAAGGAAAGGAAATCAGGACTTATAGTAGCCTGCATAGATATTGTAGCCGTCCATAGAGTCGAAATTTGCGAATAAAAATAAAATAAAACCGGTTCAAACGGAGCCGACGGTGGCTTGCAAAGTCTGACATCACTCTGGCACACGTTGCACAGAGACGTATTTAATATTAAATGTCATTTCTTCCGTCATGATATAATCTGCTTAATTTCTGAGCTGAATCTCGTCAATAAAATCGAAGCTCTGTTCACTGTACACAAGTTGTGGTATGGTATATTCATCGTTGGGGAGGCAGGTGGAGCGAAAAACCTAGTCAGCTTAGCAGCAAACACGACTATAAACTAGTCCACGTGGACTGTTTGTTTCCTGTCATATTTTAGTTTGCTTGAACCAATTGTGTTGCACCAAACGGTTATTACACTTGTTGAAATAAATTTTCAAACTTCCATCTTTCTCTAGATCAGTGGTTCGCAAACTTTTATTATTGATGGCACCCTAAAATATTAAAAAAAATTTGGCGGCATCCCGCCAAGAACAGTTTTAATTGTTTTATAAATATTTGTTTTCCATAATTTAAGCTTGTCTTTTAAAGCTAAATTTTTTTCACTGGAGGTTAAAATATTTTCATTTCTACCTTGCATACTTAAATTTACATATTTTATTTAAGTGTTCAAAAATATTAGTTAAATATGCTAGTTTTGCACACCAGACGTGGTCTTGAAGGAGGTCAAAAAATTGTTCAATATTTTCTGATTCAAAAAACGTTTATATCTGTTTTCTTAAAAAAAAACACGGCCTTTAGATAGCCATTTTACTTCAGTATGAAGAAAATTAACATGTTCAGAACACATTTTCCATTACTGAACAGTTGTACCATATTAATAAAATCAGATCATGAATTATTAATTTTTAAAGTTGGTTTTGTGCTTATAATTATTAAAATCATTATAAAATTTTCACGGCACCCTCTTGGGGGTTCCGCGGCACCCCAATGTGCCGCGGCACCCAGTTTGCGAACCACTGCTCTAGATCATCGGTTTCGTTCGTAGCTGTGTGACAAATCCTTTGTCGTAGATAGAATATAGTAAGATTACAGTGACCCTAAGATTTTGTGCAAACAGCCTTAAATACACCCCTGTGTGATATGACGCGTGCCGTAGTGACAGAATTTGCAAGCCGTCGTCGGCTTCGTTTGAGCCGGTTTTATTTTATTTTTATTCGCAAATCTCGACTCTATGGACGGCTACAATATCTATGCAGGCTACTATAAAAGGTAAGTGTTGCTGCTGTTAGGTCCTCTGTATCGGTCTATTATTCAATGTATTGTACTTTATTTCTTCAGTTGTTTTATTCTAAATTGATATAAAAATATGAACGTTAAGGGAGAAGTAGCTGTATTATACAAATCGTTACTTAACGACTTAATAAATATGTTTGTTTCAATAAGAACTCGAACGTTAATATCTCGTCAGATATTAATTCTTTAAAACTGGCCTTTTCGTCTGAAGTAATTTGGGATATCTAATAGGTTTTTATCAATGTTAATTATTTAAAAATCGAAAACATTTTTGTATTTGGGACATATTTAACTAGAACTAAATCAGCAAAACGTTTCAGACAATCATCTTAATTGAAAATAGTGGTCTTTATTGTTTGAGTTTATTGGAAATTGTTTATTGAAATTTCGATTAAATTTACTTTAGAATGTTCTTCATTTCTAAACGTAGTGTAGCAGGGTTATTTTTTATATTTTTATTAATTAACCAAGCAAAATATACATTAACAATATTACAACGAATTTCTAGTAATCATGTGGATTAATTTAACATTATCTATTATAATATATTGATTGTTACCATCCTTAACAATAGATTACAACTATCGGTCCTGGTGGCTTATTATAAAACCGAGTTGCTTGTCATAAATTAGAAAAATCAGACGACAACGCTAACAATTGCTTTATGGTAGGCCAAGCAAAAAGGGTTTTACTTGGAAAGTCGCTTCCATAACTTTACGTCGCGCTCCTATCGGCCAGACTTTGAACTAACCGCTCAAATTGTGTCGAATCATACCCATTTTTTTCAATAATTCTTAGTTTTTGTTAAAAACTCTGCTAACTCTGTCATTAATTTTCCACTGAAACTCCTGTTAAAATTGTTCCACGTATTTTGCATTAATTTGTGGTATACAGGGTGTCCCAGAATTCGCGCCATTCCCGTGAATGACATGTTCCCTGTCCCGAACTGTGCCGTAATTCGCAAACAGAATTGTCCAGGATTTAACCGTGTGAGAACTGGAAGGCGATTAAGTTGACCAATAGAGAGGCTGCTTTTATCTCCGAACGTTTCTATGTTCAAAGTTACCTATGCCAAGAACAAAAAATCGGGTAATACTAAAGTTGAATGAATTTTTTTCCGAATCCCCCTCCGTCAACAAAAGGAAACAGAAATGTGGTTATAAATTTAATCATTTTGACAATTGTTTG